CAGATATTTCTCAATGGGAAGATACTTGACCGTACGATTGTAGGATTATAAAATTGTAAATACATGGAAAGCATATGCGGGAAAGATTTGGGCGGGCGCCGGGGGATGACTTCGAAACTGTCATGCATGGATAGCTACACACAAATGTGTATCCTCCCACCCCATTCCACCACCCTCGGAACAAAACACTCTCCGAAACCATTCATACACACATCCCGTCTCTAGATGCATCAAACCTATCCCATGCCAAACCCCAGCCCTCGAATCATTCCAAGAACCAAACTCTACGCAACTTCAACAGTGGCTCGCCAGAGTCTGGGAAGATATAGACCAAGAAATAGAGCAATCATGTTCAACCACCACGTCACATCACCCCCTTCCAGGAAAGTCCGCTGCGGAATCTACAAAGCGAAGCGAAGTGGGATAAGCTAGGCTGAGCTAAGAACGAATGATTGCATTACCAGTTCGTGGATCATGTACGGCGAGATGAGATGAGATGAGATGAGATGACATTGATCTTTGTTTTGATTTTCAGATGCTCGTTTGCTTGATTTCTCATTTGGCTGCTTGCTTTATTGGGTGATGAGAATTGATTATTGAACTGTTGTTGGATGGGATTGTATGAGATGAGATGCGAGCGGTCTAGAAATAAACCTACTTGTGTGTGCGAGTGAATATCAAAGTTTGCGCACCCAGGCATCGAGCGAATAGTCATGGGGTAGCGAGTTGTGCATGGGATTTGTTAAGGGGGTACTTGATGGAAGAATGGCGCGGTTTGGAGAGGATAGATAGTCGTAAAAGGGAAAGAGGTGTTGGCAACTTGGAACATTTTAATTTTGGGAATATCGGGATTTTCAACAAGAAAGCAAGGTATGCATTTTACTTCTGGATTAATGTGATTTAAACCAATGAACTTGTATTGTGATAGTAAGTCTTACTCTCGCTCACATGGTGCAGAGAGGTAGTATGGACATACAACTTGCGAGCTGTTGAAGCCATACTTTGATTGCAAACTGCTGCGTAAATCTATGCCCTAGCCAACATAGAAATTTGTGAAACTGCCCCGATCAAATTGGAGTTCAATCACTCTTCAAAAGGCTATCATTCGGTCTCTGAAATTTGGTGTGGTTGTGAGGTCAGTAAAGTTGAATTTGACTTCTACACCCTTCCCACGAGCATATTCAATAGCGTCTGGACTGATTTTCCCGCAGTCCATTACGTTGAGGAACTTAATACCTTGATTAACAAAATGCTTTACCGCAACACCCGTGATCTTTGTACCACAGATAATTAGCTTTTCCAGATTTGGACATTTTTCTACCATACGTATGAAGTCCTTTTCTTCATACTGCAAGTAGCTAGCACACAATACCATGACGTTTTCGCATACAGGAAAATTTTGGTGTGCGACAGTATAATCTCCGACTAGACGACTTCCAATGCCTAGATGCTTTAGATTGTGGGCGTTTTTGAGAATAGAAACAATCCATTCGTCGCTGAGTCCAGTATCCTGGCACGTGAGAGTTTCCAAGAAGGGAAAAAGAACATTACCGCTTTTTTGGCTTGACAATCGCAGGTTGTCATGAAGACGAAGAGTTTTGAGCGTTGCAGGGAGCAATGGAACCGTTCTCAAGTCACACGATATGAGTTCAATAACTTCCAGACTCTTGAGAGGCCCATCCAAATCCAATGGAGAGAGATTTTGCAAGTCAAATCCTGATAATGATAACGTTTGAATGTTGGGAATTGATTCGATCAAGTTGCCCTGTAGGGAGTATTAGAATCATTGCATGAAAGAAATTGTTTTGGTATTATTACCAATGATATCATACTACCAAGGAATCCATTGCACACCTTTAAGTCGCGCAAATTTTCTAACCTTGGCCAGATGCAACCGGCGTCTCGGGAAGTATGATGAACTCCCATCAACTCTGCCTGAACAATGCTTGCTTGAACATGCCGTAATGATTCGAGGGCAGACCGAAAAGAGATTTGACACATCTGCAAATTCAAATTCTGCAGTGACTTTGCCAGGGGAAGTGCCGAAGTTAAGGTCTCTCCAATCACAGCATTGTTTTTGTTGCGTATTGTAAGGCGTTGCAACTTTGTACATGTCCTGATGAGATACTGCAATTTTGCGGCATCGATTGTATCGTACCTAAGAATAGCTTCATCGACGGTGTAATTTGATCTCCTAAGGTATGCCCTCAAAGATTTTTGAGAGAGGCCTCTTCTAGTAATGCTAGTGTCGAAGGTAGTCCATAGCTTATGAGAAGATTCCAATACTCGCTTCCATGACTTGCTCACACTCAAACAAATCCTTTTTGTGGTTAGCAAGTGTCGATAAGAAGGCCTTCCCTACATACATTCGTTCTCGTATGCTAAGCTGCTGAGCTATCATTTCTGCCAATTCAAAGGGTAGGTATGAGAGCGGATCTAGAATTTTACTAGGCGCTAGTGACTTTTGTAATTTATTAAACATTGATTGGAGGGTCTTGAGTCAATGTTAACATACTAATAAAATTCCATAAAGAATGGTAGAACCTACTAAACGATCTTTGTCGGTATCAATTTTGACCTTTCTGAGACCACGCTCGTAGATTTTCAAGGCCAGTTGATGCTCCCCTTTAAGCTGTAGAACTTTCCCACATCGTAGATATCCCTAGAGATTCAATCAGGACTTTTGAAGCAGCAATTCTCAAGGCAAAGAAAACTCACTTTAGATAGTTCTGGTTTCAGTTCAAGCATCTCTTTCGCATCTTTAAGAGCTGGTTGCAATAAACCCAACTTCTCATATGTAGCAGCGCGATGATCTAAAGCAGTGAGCAACAGATGACCAGTACTAATTTTCACAGCCTATATCATGATATAAAGTCAGTGATCGATATCGATACTGATCTAGATGACTGGCACGTGCCAACAAGACATACCTCTGCGAATGCAGTTAATGCGCCTTGATAGTTCTTCTTCTGGTAACGATGTCGACCTTTCTCCAGAGGTCCCATCCCTTCCTCTTCATCATAAGCAGGAGGCATGTTACCTATTTAATTTTACTTATGAATGGAAAATTATGTAGTTGTCGATAGAAAGTGTTAATGGATGGTCGCGCTTTGAGCTTTGACGGACGGACGCGAATTGATATCAATTTGTGGATTTGTGAAGAGCCAACGATGATTGGATGATATCAAGGGTATTCTTCGGCACTGGCGATTACATAAATCACCCCGGGTGCCGAGGTCTACGATAGAGTTCAGTGAACCAATATATCACCAAAACATCTCCCTTTCCAATGTCGCAAGAAGATTATCCTATAGACTTTGTTTTGGAGAGTATCGAGACCATAATGACTTCAGAAAACCAACCAAAAGTGATTTTGTTTGACATTGGGGGTGTCTGCGTTAGTAATCATTCCTTTATGTTTCATCGCGGTACTGCACCTGAACTTTTGGAGTGTTAACTCAGAATTACGACATGGAAATTCACAAGAGAGTTTTAATATCTGTTGGTATGACGGTATCTCCACGAAAGAGAGATGACGAGAAGTTTCTCTGATACCTTCTGGAAGTATGATATACTAAAAGGGAAGGCCATATGCACCGAGCTGGAGGTACACTGAGTGGGATAGCGACGCGTCTCTAATCGAGATTCACCGTCTTTAATCATACATAATCTTTCTACTTATTTTGAGTTGTTCTAATCTTATTTAACTTCTAACTTCTCCCAGGTTCTGTCTCCCATGCAAGCAATTCTCGATTTCGAGATATCCAACAACATACCTCCGGGCTGGGTGAACTATGCCCTTTCTAAAAATAAACCAAACGGATTCTGGTGAGCATAGTTCTACAGATCATTCTTCGATCTCTCTGTCTAGCTATTCAGAGTAGTTCGGTAGACTCTACTCTTACCATAATATTCTCCAAATCCACCACATCTACTCGTCTCACTCACAAACACTCATCTAGGCACCGTCTAGAACGTGGCGAACTAGAACTAAATTCCACCTTCTTCACCGGATTCACATCCGACCTCCACAACCCTTCCTTCTGGACCAGCTTCTACAACTCCGTACGAGAAAAGCATTCTCTCCCATCCACTGTTCCACATATACCTCGAATTGACGGCGAAGCACTCTTCTGGTCTATGATGGATAACTCACGCGAGCTTGATCCTTGGTATTTCCCCCTTTCTCAACCCCTAATTGTCGAAACCGCGATACTGATACATAACCTAAGGATGTATCCCTGTCTCCAAAAACTCAAAGCCTCCAAAAAATACACCCTAGCCGGTCTCTCCAATACCGTCATCTTCCCTCCTTCACATCCATATTCCAAATCTCATTCCTTCATCCCCGAAATATTCGATGTATTTATATCCTCAGCACACGTGCATATGCGCAAACCATCTCCTGAAATCTACGCTCTGACATTTCGTACTTTGCGTGAGCACCACTCTTCTAAATTTCCCAATTCTCCTCCTCTCTCCCCTTCAGATATACTTTTCCTGGATGATATAGGCGAGAACCTCAAAGCTGCCAAGACAGCCGGCTTTCGCACTCTGAAGGTAAACTTAGGTCGCGCGTATGAGGCGGTGGAGGAATTAGAGAGGATCACCGGGTTGGGGTTGAGTGGGGACCATCCGAAAGTACCAATTGGATTGGCGGTTAAGGGGAAGGCAAGAGATGTCAAATTGTAGAAGATGCTGGATCAGGAAGGAGATAGAGACAAATACGGCTAAGAAGATATAATAGATTCAGAGATAGATAGATATATGCATCGTCACAATGCTATGAAGTAAAGCAAATAAACAAATAATCAGTGTAAACCGGGTATTCAAAGCGCCACCAATGTACGCATACGTACAGATATAACATCAAAAATTGGTATTATAAAACAGAACACCAGCAAGATATCTCTATACAGTGAATCCACCTTCGTAACTTCATAAATTGGGAATAACAAAAGCTCGAATCCGTAACGCCCCACCGTGCATCTTCAAGCACATCATTCCTCCTTTCTCGGCGATCCCATTCCACCTGAAATTAGACTCTCCAGTTCCCAAGGGCTCAAAGTGCTTCTTCTTCTCGCCGCTCTTCCATGCTCTCTATCTCTACTTGCCCTCACTTTTCTTTTCCTACTAGACACAGCACTCAAGTCTTTTTCCGGGCTTTTCGTAGCTGTATTACCGCCGCCGCCATTTTTGATCGGTTCCTCTTTAATAGGCGAAGATGGCGGAGGCATAATTCTTGAAACTTCCGGTTCTATTTTCTTAGTTGGACTTCTAGATCGTGGGGCAATTGCGCCAGTAGTAGTAGTAGTAGTAGTAGCAGCATTGCGTGCCAACTTTGCAGCCTTCAACTTAGCTTTGACTCTTGCGGCGTCTGCTTCACGTTCAGATGCGGCTAGTTTGGCGGCTATACTAGCCATAGTAAGAGGGCTCTGTTGAGGCGGTATATGGGGTGGCCGAGGTAAGCGGCTTGCGGATGTAATGGGTTGGAGTTGAACTTTTGGAGTAGCTTTTGGTTTGGGCGTTGAATAAGCAGGCTTTTTAGCTGAAGCTGCTCTTGCAGCCGAGGCTCTAGTCTCTCGTACAACCGAGGATCTAGTGGAAGATCTGGTTGAGGAGTGGGCGGAGAGCGTTGGAATTGGAGTTTTGGGGATGGGATTCTCGTCGGTGCGTGGAACGGAGAGCTGTGCTGTTGTAACTTCTTCTTTCTTTTCTTTTCTGAAAAAAGGCTTAGGTGTTGGGGTCGCCATGGATTTTGAACGAGATGAAGACTGCTCGAGTTGTAAAAGATCCCAAGTATTCTCTTCGATAATAGTGGTAAATCCCTTGGGGCTTGGTCTTTCCGGGCTACCTCGGTTACCATTAGTAGTTTCGCGCAGCGGAGACATCTGAGGTGGCGTCCCGGGTAGGGACGATACTGTATCGAATGTGATTTCTGCTGGTTGGTGTTGTTGCTGGTCTTCGGTAATCTCATCATAATCTTCCTCTTCCTCTTCTTCTTCCACTTCTTCTTCTCCCTCGGCTTCAATTTCCTCTTCCCTTGTTTCCTCGGGTTCTTCCTCAAAAACACTAGATTCAGCGTCACTCAATTCTTCCTCATCAAATTCGGGTTCCGCATGACCATCAATGCCCGAATCATCCAAGGCATCAATATCTGCTTGTGTATCGCCTTCATCCTCATATTCATCCTCATCCTCTTCCTGCACCATCGATAATTGAAGGACCTCGTAATTGGGATCTGCTGTGGGTTTGAAAGGACTCAAGCTTAATCCCATCTTCAGTTCTTCAATATTGACAGTTTGTCCACTCCTAGCCATTCGATGACGCCATCCATCCATCATATGGACAGCATCCTTCCATCTGGACTCCATCTTTTCCCACCCTTCTCGTAACCTTATGATCTCTTCCTCTCTAACCTCCACTTCTTCTAGTGAGACGAATGATGGGTTTGTCAGGATTGTCCGTAGATGTTCAATTACAAATTCCATTTCGGAAGCAAGATGCTCATAAGAACCCTCCATTTGTACAACCATTCCCCCTTCTTGTTCCTCCTCTTTCTCACAGCCGGAAACCGTCCTTAATGTCTCGATAGTCCTTCTCACCAACCCTCCTAAAGATTCGTTCTCATCACTCAGACCCCTGGCCAATTCTGTCAAAAACTCGTTCGTCTCCATTCTTAGATCATACCCCTCATCCTCCGTACCCATTCCTGCCCCACTCCCATTATCACCCCCAACTCCAGCAACTACGTTAATAGTTGCAACACCCACAGCTTTCCCACTGCCCCTTGCTCTGCCACCTTCACCGACATGTCTTTTCATTCCTTCAATAATTCTTTCCTTTTTTCTGACCTCGTTCGCACACTGTGCCCTTGTCTGCCCCACCAAGACCTTCATCCTCGCCATATCCTCCTTCAGCCCCTTAACTGCCTGCTCCGCACTTCTCAATTGTGTTTTCAAAGCTCGTTCTGCCGCATCCGCTATCCCAACTTTCCGTTGCAATTCTGTGTTTTTTGTCGCGAGTCTCTCCATATCAGTTGTTGACCGTAAAGCATCAGCGCGCAAAGCTCGAATTGTTTGTGAGAGGTTTTCTCGTTGTTGAGAATCGCGCTATCAATTTTTCGTCAATTTGACTCTTTTATTCAATAACTCGATGTTGAAATGCGCTTGCGATACTTACATCTCTCCTCAAAATCAGATCATTCACCACACTCATTATCTTCCCCATGGTAACATCTAGTCCCTCTTCTGATTTATGCGGGCGCGCAAAGTCAATTGTTTGTCCATTTCGTAGAAGCCCGCGAGAAAGTAGCTGGTTGTTTATGTATAGGGACGCAGTGCGCAGATTATCTGCATCCATGTTTGCTGGCTCGAATTACAATTATCAGGTATGAGCCTTGAGAAATACTGGAAGGTATGCTCGATGTATTCATGGGCCAACTAATGTCGAAATAAGTGGTTTAAACTTTCAATGGTCTTCGTCGCATGAACCTTCTGTGTTGTCATGTAAACAAACAAATCGAGATTGCAGGGGTATACCGAGCAAGGTTCTTGTCTCTCTCGTGATCACGTGTGCGTGTTTTGCGAAGACAAGATCTAATTGCCACCACATCTGATTTCATTGGATTGTATTCTACCATTGTAGCTGACAGAGATATCAAGCCTTGTTTTAACATTGTTTCAAATAATTGACATGGAATTATATCATCGTACCGCATGTACCTATTCAAAATCGAAGTTTTTCATTTGGTTTTTGGGGGGAAAGTCCATCTCTTTCTGATCCACTAATGACTTCCTCCGTACTTCAGACAAGCCTCTTTAGATACTGTTGTGGCTAGAATGTTTGCAACCCAGATTCTGAGAGGACGACTTGGAACCCAAGACAATTGCAACGAAGATAATAGTCCCCTCTTTTGACTGCGAGTGAGTGTTCGACATAATGTTTGTCGAAGTGGGGTTACGAGAATCTTTGTGAGCATCATTGGTATGCTCAACAACGGCAGGAGGTTGTGGCAAGATGGAAATTAGGTTGGAATCAAAGTTCCATAATCACTCACGAAGGTATTGGGATCGTCCTCGATAGTTTGCTCCCGGGGTGCGTTCGTGTTTGATAGAGGTAGTAACTTTGGGAAGACTTCAGGAATGAATTGTCCTCTGAATGGAGATTTTGATCGACTCTTTCCATGGAGAGGTACCTAGGTAGTCTTGCACCCAAAGCCCTTCATCTCTGAGTCTACTCTTTTCCCTTTGCTTCTCAATGCGCAAACGATTCATGACGGCCCTCGCTAAAGACTTAGCCTTACTTTTTGCACCCACGATTTCTCTTCCCCTTATGACTAACTCAAAGGTTAGAACGAACGGAAAGTCAATAGAGATTGGACGTATTCACATGTCCATGATTAGCAGCTGTAGTCTGATATGAAAGGCATGAGAAATACTCTTTGCTGGTAAAAGGTTAGTGAAAGTGAATTGACTGTCTTTTTTGTTTATGATAAGACGGAAACCAAGCTATACTGACGGAGGAAAGAGTACTCTTACCTTTCTAAATTCATTTGCTCTGTAAGATTAATAATCGATCGAACAAATAAACGAAAGGATCGCTTATACTTATTGATGGTAATCTTTTGATATAATACACATAGTCTCCCGAGAGGAAGTTGGGCACAAGAATGAGAGGAAGTAGAAAAATGAAATGATGGATGTAATTGAGTTTCAATAGAACCCCAAACTGCAGTAGAGAAGAAAGGTTTCGAATTCAAAATTGATACCAACAAAACAGTTTGCGAGCCCATGCAGAATTCAGTATCAATATAAAGATCTTGGAAAGCTAATAAGTATGCAGTTTCTGAAACTCTTCACAACCAGACATGTGGCAATCATTTTTGCTATAATCAGTGAGCTGTGATAACAAATCCTGTGAGTCGTATAATCTCGTATAGAGCCCATGGAATACAACCTCAATAACGATAATTTCAATGCCTGCACTCTGTGATATCTTCATGCATTCTCTTCGATGATATATACCAATGCTTGAGAACCCTGAGAGCTGCATTGACGATGGCGAATTTGACTTGGGCTAGTAATCACAGGTTCACACATTGACTTTTTGACCATAATATAGTACCACAGAATGTATGAAACGATTCAATTTCGTAATTACATGTTGTCTCAAGAGGTAAAGGATTGGACTAACACATCCCCGGAAAGATAATGCGGAGGGCGTCAAGTATTGTCACGTGATAGGCTTCGTCCCCCACCATCCGCACACTTAAGCGAACCCACTAATTTCGAAATTGAAGAATTGAAGTCGTTTCGAATTTTTCTCTTTTTGATTTTTCCTACCTCCAACGACAATTCATAATCCAGCAGTGCGGTCAATCGAACAAGATGGTGAGTTAAAATCGTAATACTTCGATTGCAGTATATCTGCAATCATGGCATTCAAAGCCCCAAGATCCTTGAATCCTTGAAAAGTCAAATAGCAAAATGCTTCGAGAAATTGAAGGTTGCTGACTTTGGAACTTTTACAGCCTTTCACCAAGCTGGTCAAGAACTCCGCGTACTATAGGTGAGCTCAATTCCCCTTTCTCTCAATTCAATTTTCGCATTCTAACAATCAATCAGTCGCTACCAGACTAAGTACAAGCGCCGTCGTTCCGGAAAGACCGATTACTACGCCAGAAAGCGTCTTATCACCCAAGCCAAGAACAAGTACAATGCGCCAAAATACCGTCTCGTTGTCCGATTCACCAACCGTGATATCGTCATGCAAATCGTCACCTCCGAAATCACTGGTGACAAGGTTTTCTGCGCCGCATACTCCCACGAGCTCAAGGCCTACGGTATTGAGCATGGTCTTACCAACTGGGCCGCCGCATACTGCACTGGTCTTCTCATCGCCCGTCGTGTCTTGAAGAAGCTCGGTATGGATAAGGACTTCACCGGTGTTGAGGAGGCTGATGGAGAGTACCAACTCACCGAGGCTGCTGGCGATGAGGAAAGACGTCCATTCAAGGCTTTCCTTGATGTTGGTCTTCACCGCACTTCTACTGGTGCCCGTATCTTCGGTGCCATGAAGGGTGCTTCCGATGGTGGTATCCTTGTTCCTCACTCCGAGAACCGTTTCCCAGGTTACGACATGGAGAGCAAGGAGCTCGATGCCGAGACTCTCCGCAAATACATCTTCGGTGGACACGTCGCTGAGTACATGGAGACCCTCGCCGATGACGATGAGGAGCGTTACAAGTCCCAATTCCAAGGTTACATTGATGATGAAATAGAGGCCGATGGATTGGAGGAGTTGTACCAAGAGGCCCACAAGGCTATCCGTGAGGACCCATTCAAGAAGGCTGAGGGAGGAGAGAAGAAATCCAAGGACGAGTACAAACAGGAGTCTTTGAAGTTCAAGGGACGCAAGTTGTCCAAGGACGAGAAGCGCGAGAGAGTCAAGGCCAAGATTGCCGAATTGAAGTAAATTTTCAAATCAAATTTTCGGATATGGGGTTTCTAGCTAGGCGATAAAAATGATACTCCCTTGATACTCTAGAATTTAATTATCTTGATGAATGATGAACCAATGTATTTTTAGTATTCCATAAACAATAGTTGACAGAAAAGTCTTAACTTTGCGTTGTCATCACTCGTTACCTTGTCTGTATACAGAGTATATCTTCTCGCCTCTGTTTGAATCACACCTTATTTAAAGTGCTTACTCGGAACTTCCCAGAACTCCTTTCAGCACAATGCCGAGAACCTTATCAAAGATATCAAAATGAGGATTTTCATCCTCCTCTCATCATTATGATTTCCCCCCCCTCCATATCAAACCATTTTGTTTTGAAACCTCATTGCAAGATTGATTTTTCTTTTCCCATAACTTGTTTTATATGCTCTTTCGCATCATTGCTCATTGTTCAGTGCTCAGGAGATTGTGGATTGTGAATTATCGTACCACAGATTGATCGAATCATATCGAATCTCCGAGGCTGGGTACCGAACTTAAATCCACTTGCACCAACCCCGACGAGGACCCCCAAGTTCCAACACATGACGATATTCTCCACCGCTCCACTTCATTGCTTCATTGTGTGAGTGGTGTCTGATCACTATCGCAAATCGCCAACGCAATTTATAGTCTACTTGGTGGTTTGTGGCATTTGATTCTGATATACCCATACTACTCAACACATTAATTCATTCACCGTTCCGTCACAATCATTTGTGGCACAAATACGATCATGGATTTGTACCAATAGAAACTGCTCACATCAGCAACGAGACATATTATGAGACATCAACAAGCGATAACAAATCTTGATTGCGATAATTGCGAAGACTTTTGAATAAACATCTCTTCGACATCAAGTAGGAGAAATTTTCCGACAATTCGCAAACCGGAGAACATACCTTGAAGGTTTATTTACATGATGGAGCAAATGACTGGCGTGGATGTGAGTTGGATGACACACAGTTCAAGCAACAAAGGTTGGTTCAAGCATTACTTCAAATGGAAAATTGAGATGTATTGGAACATTTGCCAGCTATATGTGTGCGACTAACATGAGTTACTTATTGCAGACCCAAAACGACCTCGTATGGTTCCGAATGCGTCTGGTTCACAAGGAAAATCAAGTCCGCCCCCACAGAATGGCTCTACCCCTCCAAAGAATGAAAACGAGCCCGAAGTTGTAACGACTCCACAGCCGATTCCAAATCGACCTGGCGTATCTAGAAATACCTCCTCGGAAAGGATCGTGGCGACAAATGGCACACCACCGAAAGCATCTACATCACCCAACATGTCCCGCAGAAACTCGTGGTTATCGAGCATATCCTCAAAGTTCTCGGGCTCACCCTCTTCCAGCCATACGAGCATATCTCCCAGTACTTCACCGGCAGCTTCTCCTATAGAACCTCCGGTACAAAGACCTGCAGGACCAAGTGCGCCCAAAAATGCGGTGCTAGTACATGGGGTCAAGGATGATGGCGATGCACCTTACGTTCCAGCGCCTCCGCGGAGTGGACCCAGCTTCTTACAGAGTGCCTTGCGGAGGCTGTCATCTTCGGGTGGGCAATTGTCTGGATCAGCCAAAGGCCACAATGGATTGTGCGAAAGAAAGGTTCTGAACGTCGATCATCACCGGGAAAGATGCCCCATATCTGGGCTTGAACAGGCAAAACTAAGAAGGGTAGCTTTCTGTGTAGATGTTGAGATAGCCAGCGGTCCCCGTTATATGGACGAGGAAGAGTCCGATGAAATCGATAATAAAAATAAAGAAAAGATGAAGCGATCTAAAGAAAAGGGAGAAGGCGCTGCGTTGAAGAATCCGAACAATTCTATGTCCGAGATGGAACAAGACGATACTCCGAAAACAAATGTTAGCAAACCTGATGAAAAGCTCACCGAAAGTGCTCAGCCAATGGCCTCAGAAGATACACCAGAGGCTGCAGGATCCTCTCCACCGATTGAAAAAGACAATACCAAAAAGAAAGAGAAGAAAAAGCGTAGCGAAGAAGAGCGTAAAGCAAGAAAAGAGAAGAAACGAAGGCTTGCTGAGGCAAATGGTACAATCCCAGTTGAGTTGAAGATTGATGAGAGTGACAGTTCAGTCTCACCCACTTCCAATACCGCCACTCCAAAAACCCACGCTTCGCCTACCACAGACCCTGTTCGAATCTATAGAAGATGCTGTCAATTAAGAGAAACGCCAATACTGAAGAGAATTGTTGAGCAGCTCACAGCCTCAGTAGCGACGGCTGCAATGCCTGGTCTTGTTGCCAAATTGGATCTCTCGGGTTATTGGTTACAATTACCAGACCTTGTCACCTTGGGAGACTACTTAGCTGTGGTTCCCGTGAAAGAATTGATAATGGAAAATTGTGGACTCACCGATGAAGGTGTTCGTGTCATCTTGGCTGGTCTTTTGGCCGCCAAGTTACCAACATACGGTAGAAAATCTCACACTCGTAAAGAGGGCCAATATCCTCAGGGTGGTATAATCGAATCGCTAGTATTTAAGAACAATAACAAGATTGGTAAAGATGGTTGGCGGCATATCGCTCTGTTTATTAATATGTGCCGGTCATTGAAGGTTCTGGATTTGTCAAGGATTCCTTTCCCCCAGGATACTACTACACCAACGACCGGTTCTGGGCATCTAAAGAAAACGGATAGTAACACGAGTCACACGAGCAACGAAGTCTCTTGCTTATTATCCAAGGCTATTGGAGATCGACTCGCTGGTCCAGAATTCGAACTCTTGAACCTGGGCCATTGTGGCATCAACAGCGAGCAATTAGATGGGTTAGTTGATGGAATTATAAAATCGGGCTTACGAAGACTTGGTCTTGCAGGTAACGGAATTACATCAGTAGGGATGGAACATGTTGCTAGATGGATAAAATTTGGCAAGTGTGAAGCTCTTGATCTTGTTGGTAATGATCTCAAAGATTCTATGGAGATCGTTGCGAATGCCCTTGACGAAGACAACAAAATTTACGCCTTGAGCTTGGCAGACTGTAACCTCAATCCGGATTCGCTGTGGCCTCTTTTCCCAGCCCTGGCAAAGTTGAAGAACTTCAAGTTCATCGATTTATCGCAAAACCATGATCTGTTCGAGTCGAATCCCAGTGCACTTTCTCTTCTGCGCAGGTATGTTCATTATTTTCCTGTTATTTTCGCATAACATTACGATATGCAGAGATTAGTAATCTCTGCATGGTTGGGTATGGTGATCCATAATATAAATCCTTGTTGTATCTAGTCCTACGGTTTCCCGTCCACCCCATGTAACGAGAAATGTTTGAGCGCTTTAGCAAGGCGAACTGCTAGATTTCATCAAGCTCTAAATGGCAATTTGATTTTATGAAGACGGTGTCGGATATAGCTGCGGCATTTCTACGGTCTCGTACTGCGACCAGTAGTTTGCTTCACATATGTCAGCAACTTACAATGCAAGGCTTCAGTTGATTACTTTCTCAGCTTTGCTAAATTTACTCTCATTATATTTCCAAGTACGGTCGTACAGGGCATCATTGGCTGACATACCACAGATACTTACCACGTTTGCCTCAACTCAAGCGGATACATTTGACTAATGTATCCATGACTCCTGAACAAGCCATCGCCCTTGCGGAAATCCTACCGGAGAGCCCCAGTCTTGCGCATGTGACTCTTATGGAAAATACGCAACTAGCTGCTCTTGCAAATGCGAAAGACGAAGCAAGTCAGGAAGAGGCTTGTGCATTATATGCCTCGTTGATGGCCGCGGTCCGAGTCTCTCAGTCAATTGTATGTATAGATATTGAAGTTCCGTCAAATGATTCGTCCGAAATTGTTAGGGCCTTGGCCAAGCAAGTTGTTGCTTACTGTCTGTGGAATATGGAACGCGGTCCAGTTGCAGAAATCAGTGAAGCTGTTGCTGCAATCTCTGATCCCCATGCAGCTGCCAACGGAAAAGATGTTGCAGTACCCGAAGTATTGTTACACATTGTGGGGCACATGGAAGGAGTCCAAGAAAATCATGATGACGATGAGCCAGCTCCTGATGAAGATTATGTGATTGGCGGGACAGGTGTGGTTAAAGCTTTAGGTATCTGTTTACGAAACAAAGGCAATGATTCTAGGAGGCCATCAATGGATCAAGCTATCTCCGAATTATCTAGACCAAGCAGCAGCTCGGCCACCCCGAACAAACCTGTGAAAGGTGGCAAAGCCAAGGATATGTCGAAGAATCTATTGGGAAGTGCCAGGAAGATTCGGGCTAGATTACAACCTGCTCTAGTCAAGGAGTCAAAGGCCAGTGATCATCACAATTACAGTAAGAATTATCCATTGTTTTGCAAATATACCTTGACTCAACTGACCGCAAACCAGATCGATTACTATTCCTTGATCATACATTGCAAAATATGATCAAAAGATTTGAAGACGAATTTCCTGAGACCCGCTTGTCACCATCATTACCCGACACGGAGCGAACAACCACGACGGATAACGCATATTCACTCCAAACTGATTACGAAGGATCAGACGTTGAGCCCGAACCAATCTTGGCTGATAATCAACCATCAGATGAAGAGGGAGGGCACGACGAGGGTGGAATTCGCCCCACTCTATCTCGTCACAACTCCGATGTCTCATTGGCCTCCAGAGCACTTTCACAGGAAGAAGGCAGGATGCATCGTTTTGGGCAGAAAATTCGTCGTAATCTTATCAAACCAGAGAGCGAGGACAAATTACATGGAACTACGGGACACGAAATTCAGCCAGCACATCTACAATTTTTAAGGTCTATGGTTGAGGACCTCCAAGGCGAAGATATCAGAAACAAAATAGAGACCCTAGGCCCAGATGCGGTGATAGCCGAGCTGAACAACGAAGCTAGCATTCTTCGACAGAGACTCATTGAGAATGATCCTGAAGGTTGGCAGAAATTCAAAGAAAGCCAAGAAGCCATGCAAAGAAATTCAAATGTAGCAAATATGGGCTCAAATGGGATAGTATCTGAGAGTGCTATCGAGTAAATTTTAGGCACTTTGTATTTTGGACTTTGAAATTACTTGCATGTTTTTCATCAGCATGGCGTGGTCTTTTGCGCTACTTACTATAGTGTACTTCTTACATAGCGTTTTGTTTATTGGATAATATGACGGGAATGTGTATTACTAAGGAGGAGAATCTTTAAGCAAATCTTGTGGCGTTGCATAGGGGAGGATATTTGTGGTACAAAGTCTTGAATGAAGGATTGTACAAGTAGATTAGATAATAAGAAGCATGAGTTATGATCGGCGCGTATCAATATTTCAAGATTGACGTATAATCTTTATGAATTCGTCTTACTTTAAAGTTACTAATATAAGAAAGAATAAACACATTTGTAGTACTTCTAGATCTACCAACAATCTCGACCTCTACATATCTTTTCATACGCGTTGAATACCAGGTGGCGAGAGAAAAATTGCATTCATTAACTTCATACATCCTTATCCATCCGCAGTACAAAATTATCTGAGCGGCGATGATGGATTCGCCAGCAACGTATTTTTAGTGACATAGTAAATAACTTCCATCCATCCTTCCATAGCAGAACCAAATAAATGCAAAGCAAACCTCCTTCGCAGGTGACCTATCAATTAACGCCTATGAATACCTAGGAGATGATAGACGATGAATGCACACAGCCATCCATTTCGAATCTTTTAATCCTCATTGCCACGATTTTTTGCTTTTTCCTTACCTTTTCTTTTTCCTACTCTCTTTTTGATGGCTTTGCCATGAAGATCTCATCCCATTGATTTCACAAATCACGTGAGATCACTCCCTTCATCTGTCATTCAACTGCATAATCCCCGCGTCTGCGTATAAATCCTGAAGTCTCCGCTCTTTTCACATGTATGAAGAATCCAATCCCATAACTGCAACCCAACCTCTATCTTCTCATTCTTTCGTCCACTTCATCCCTCGCTCGCCACCATTCTCCTCTTCCTCTTCTAGAATCATCGTCCTCCCATTCTCAAACCCGCCGATAGCAATAGATTCCCAGGATCTCTCAATTACCTCGCTATTCCCTTTCGAAATCTTCAGATTACTATTCTTCAAGCCCCGCTCATATAGTCACGCGCTCATTCTCCTCTCGCTCTCGGCACACGCCTCACATACTCCGCCCCCAAAAACGCGCGTGTGGCGACGCCAGCCATCGCCGGAAATTATCTCGCCATTTACGACAGGGGTGTTGGTGAGGGGGTTGGGAGGCTTGGTGTAGGAACGACGACGGGGGGGGATTTCGGTGGGGGGAGCGGAGCCGCTTCCGCCTCCGTGGATGGGGGAGTAGGGGAGAGGTTCGAGGGGCGAGGGTGGCGTGAAGGGAGGTGGTGGCGGGAGACGAGAAAATGTTTTTGGGGAGCTGGAGATTGAGGAGGGGGAGGTAGTGAAATCGAAAGAAGACGAGAAGGTTCTTGAGAGAGCAAGGTTGTCGGTATCCAATCTTGGGTTTTCATCCATGTATGAATAGATATTCACATCGGACTTTTCGAGAAGAGGAGTAGAGGGACGGCTTGGTGGGAAATGATATTGTAATATTGTTGTGGACCTGCGTTTCCTCCGTATGAAGATTGTGATGCAAAGAAAGACGACTCCGCTTAGGAATAGGTAGGGAGCGGGTATTTTGGAGAATAATCCATATGTATATGCATTAGTTAGTCCCGTGATGGGCTCAGATACGACGGGCATGATGGATGGATGGTGAGCTGAGTCTCGTGATCTCTCTCGGAAATGTTTTCTCTCTATTGTCGGGGTGTTGACAAAAGATTGGAGGCTGAGAGTGTGATGAATGAGAGGAGGTGAAGATGGGGGTACTAGACAACTATATATATGATGAAGTAGATGAGGTATGCATCTGGACAAATACAGTTGGGAAGAAGGAGGCTTAAGTAGAAATTGGAACCGGGTACCTCAATATGGAATCATGGATTAGAAAGATTCTTCGCTAAGGTTACTTAGTAGAATCGAGGACAATAAAACAAAAACAAATCGAACTTACTGTCAGCAAGTGATCTTACGCGCATGCAGGAGCATCGCAAAGTGTATGTAAGGTAAATCCATTGGCATCCATGTGGAAGAGACTGTCAGGGACATGCAAGTAAGTCCAAAGTACTCGTGAGATATTTCCTTTTTGCCCTTTTTAGTTTTAGTATAGTAATGATGAGGAGGCAATGCGATACATGACCAGATTAGATGGGGGGCGTATGAATGGAGCTTTCTGGTGGAATGCTTTAGAGGACCCTTGTCAGGCTTAAAGGATATGTCGAGACCTCCAACCCTGTTTCCGGGTTATGCAAAACACCCCACTATAATCCCAGTAAGGTCTTGCTTCAGCCCAACTGGGTAAGAAATTTGGGGAGAGCAGATTTTGGCTGCTGTTACTAGATGCTTTGTAGATTAGTTCGTTACCACGTTGCCATTCCCATGTTTTTCTTTTAATTATTTTCTTTTTCCTGTTCTGCTTTGGTATAGGGTTAGACATGGATTCGATATATTTCATTGACCGCAGAATCCCAATGATTACCATACATACTAGGTACATATCTCCAAATACCTTGTTGTGAAAGATATCTATCTACCCATCAAATTGTACCTAATCCGTACCTCCACCTTTCCAACCTTCTGACCAGGACCTCTCCATCAATCACCGTCAGAAAAGTCACACGGAGAGGCCTCCACAGTAAGCCAAAGAGTGGTGGGAAGGGGTTCCACTCGTAAGGCTGCACGGAGGTGCTACTGTACCTACAGGCTACAAGGCTAGATTTCCTTCGAATCCCTTCACGAATCCCGTGGAGCGATCTCCCGCTTAGTGTTCCAACATTTCTATCGCCAGACTGTCTGATTATGGTAAAGGCAGGAGTTTATACAGCTCTCCTCATCTCACGATTGACCGTCACAATACACCAAACTGGCAAATCTGGCTATTTTCGGAGATTTACTGGTCTCAGATTTCGTGTGAATTGTACTTGGTAGGAATGAATAGGCTTAGAGCACTGAAAAGCACATGGCTTGGTACTTTACTGTACATAGATACCATTATATGCCTACCTGATGTGCCACTGTATTATCGCAGCGCATAGCATACCATTCATTTATTCATCATCCTAAGAGAAGTGCGAATCAGATGAGGAATTAAACGTCAACAAACGCGGCTGATTGTGCCGCCGTATTTCGCACCAATCTCATGTCAATGGTGGGATGAGATGGATGGATGAGACGACGGTCGCTGGATTGTATATTTGCTGGGCTGGTAATGTTATGTTGCACCATAGGGTTATTGTACGTACAAAACGTAAGCTCGGCGTTAGAACCAACAATCGGAAAGTCGGTGATGTTATGGGATTGTGGATTTATTGACCGGTGAATGTCTGCCTGCATGTAATATAGCAAGTAATGCAATGAGTTATGATGGTAAAAGTTGGGAATTATCATATTGTCTTGGTGAATATCCGTCGTTGGGAAGTAGGCCTTTTGAGAGACCCATGCCAAGTCCTACCTAGTATCTGTATTCTTAAGTTCTTATCCATTATTGACCCTGCAGAGCGCCATGCAATGCATACTTGCTTGTAATACTGGCATTGCAGTTACCCCGTCAATTATCGATAGAGAGATGAGATTGATCAAGGTCCAAGGTCCAAAGAATCGATTTATCTAGAAACCAATACAATTTTACATCTTGTACCCTTTTGACGCTCACTCATGGGAATTCCTGGGCCATGTAAAAGAAAATAAGGTCGTGTGTGTATCATTTCATCCGAATCGAATATCTTCTACTTCCTACCTATACCCAGCATCCTTACTCATAATTCTCTTACTCGTAATATTCAGTTTGTGGTGAAGATGGAGAAAATGGAACAAGATTGATCTTGAGTTCAGCTCACATCAGCTTCGGTAGTCGACACTATCCTTCATTTTTGCGACGCCTTTCGGATAGCGCTTCGGGTAATTGCAGTTAAGGGTCACTGATTGGATCCAACTCCTTACCATGTGGGCATCTTTCAGCTGAATACGCACAGCGGATACTTTTCTTAATGAATGCTTCTGTATTTTACGAGTTTGGAGCCGATATACCAAGTTGATTTACCATTTATGAATGATGCAGTAGGGAGTTTCCTTGCAAATAAAAGTGGAAAGGCGGGATTTAATGTTTTCTGAAAAGTTTCAAAAAGCCATAGTCATCATAATCGTCCGATGAGGCGGTTTTCAAAGTAACAATATGGTCCGTATATTTGGGTAGATGAGTTGGGGACGGCATTGATGGTTGGCACGAAATACGCGAATGGATAGATGAAGGGGTTGGTATCGACAGATGAAGTTTAGCAGGGAAGCGCGGCTACGATAACGCAACCATAGATACCATAGATTTGGAGAAAATACGACCTTCAAACCGGCTCAGGTATGCCAAGGTCGGTATCAATGGTTGATCACTTGCTGAGGCCTCTCTGGCCCTTTCTGGGGTTACTTTCGGGGGATCTAACAATCAACAAACGTTAGTATGGAGGGACCGATTAGATCAGTATGTCGCCATCAATGTAACTATCTCTTAACCTGAAATTACTTCGAATGTTCTAAAAACCCTTCACGTTTACTCATCATGATACCATCAATTCCAGATTATGCAAAGATCGACAGGACTGGAACTTTATCAAACAAGTTCAGCCGGTCATGTCATGCGGCTCTCTACATATTGCATATGTCGCTTGTTGTATTCCATCCATGTGTCATGTAAAAAACGGACCATTGAACTGGTAGGCACGGTGGGATCGGACCGTCGTCGGCTGAAGAGACATGCAATCTCGGGGAAACTATCAACTGATTCATCTTCGTACCTCATACGCGTACGTATTCCGTACGACTAAATTCCTTAGAGGGGCATTATAAGCACTGGGATACGATACTCACGATCTCGGAGACCGTAAATTCGCCATCAATCTGATCGTGATTTGCCCCTCAGCGAGTCATCCCGCGAAATAATTCCTTTTCGGGATTCGGAAGGAATTTGGTCACGTGAGTATACCCCTTGAACAATAATCCTTTGACTTGTCTCGCTGATGACCGAATCTTATGGGAGCCGCTAATACTATCTATCATATAGATAATAGGTGCCGATCGAGAAGGATCAGTATACTCATCATCCTTTATCGTTATGCTTCGGGAGTCCCGTTCACAGCTTACCGTCAGAAACCCACCTGCTATCTTGTTGTGAAATTCAACTACACCCAGCGGGAATGTGTCGCAATATTTCTTTGCGAAAGCGGGGCAACCAATATTTACCCTTGGGATGGTAAGGCATTGATCTGTCACGTACGGGCTACCTATCGCATATATCTCCATTCATGGGTAGTCCATGAAGCATGATGCTGGACAAACTGCTACTCGAGGCGGAGATGTGACTTCCTTTTAAAAATGGAATGACGGTAATTGGGAAAGATTCTGGGCTTCCGATGATATTAGATTGTGGCCATTTGAACAGCACAAATGGTGGCTGTTTGTATGAGAATATTATAGGTGACATAGTACCTATAAAGTAAATCCTAATCATTGATATTAAATTCAGTCTAAGGAGCTAGCTATTTACGCGAAAAAGTAATTCTTATATAAGGATTGCTATAAGGCTAGCTCTCACGCTAAGTATACTACAGTAAATAAATAAGCGACAGAATGAAGGCCTTCGTTCTGCCTGATATCCCCGTCGGGGGCCTGGGTAAATTATAACTTGCTTGTAGACATGACTTTTGTCTTGAGATGAAGGGTGTTGAGAACGAGTGGGAGTGGATAGCTCACAGAGAGTGTGATGAATGATCAAGATAGAAACTATCTTTCCATCTTCCTATCACTTTCAGCAATCAATCTTCCATTTGATCCTTAAACTTCCCTCCATCAGATTCTAGATATACATCTACTTGATCGTCACAATGATTGAAGTGGTGATTTCAGGCAGTAGTAACCAAGTGATAGAATTGCTACTTGACTTGAATACGCAGCGCCATGTACCGACGAAATATATTCTGCTTATATAGACCTTCGTCCCTTGTTGTCTCAACGCTACCATCATGTCCCACTGCCATATTCCAAATGGGACCGGTAATATTCAGCAGGGCAGTCAGAACATATGACTATGGGGACCTTGGGCTCCGTGATTAGCTAATCATGTTAGGAGCCCAATATGTCCTATGTTTTGCTCAGGTAGTAACACAAAAACAGTAAAGCTAAAAACAGTAAAGCTAAAAACAGTAAAACTAAAAACAGAAACAGTAAGATATGCCAAGAGTGGCTAAGTGTTATATCATGACAGTTAAACTTGCTCTCATTGAACTCTTCTCGGTAGTCAGCTTGCTTTACCTCACTGGCCATATTAATGCTAGGGCTAGTCAAGACACCCAAAACCACATCTTCCTTGTTGACAGAATATCAAGGGTGTTCCGCCGGTGCATGGGTTGGGACACTGCATAGACGTTAGTAAGATCAGAAGAGCATTTAAGTACACAAAAGCAAGGTAACACATACCACAAAGCCACAGCTTCCACAGTTGTTTTTGTCACTCTGAGTGTTGACGCAAACACCATTACATAGTGATTGTCCAGAAGGGCAGGCTGGGGCGCAAACACCGCCTACACACGTTGAACTCCCACACTTTAAACACAACAGTATCAGTGAAGTTAAAGAGCACTGGGAAGACTCAAGGCCAAAATGACACGTACCGAATTTCCACATGATCCACAGTTGGCACTGCTGGTACTAGTATCAACACAAGTGCCACTGCACAGTGCTTGCGCAGGGTTGGCCGCAAGAGGACCGCAGGTATAGCAAGGCCCTCCCCCCTGGGCGGCTTGCGATGTACAAGCTCCGGGACTTGCGAAATTAGCTGCACACCACATCGCGCAGACGTTATTTTGACGGGTTGGAAGATGCGTTGCAAACGTGGTGATACCTTTGTCAAAAATTAGTCAGAGATTTTGAGCTTGTTAGTCATAACCAGAGAGCTCACCAAACGCAAGTAAAGTGAATAGAAAAAGTCTAGCCATTTCGAGTTGCTATCTAGTGTAGAGCCAGGCGATAGTATAGAATAGAGAACTATGTTGTGAAGAGCAAGGTGGTAGTATAGAATAGAGAAAGATGTTGTGCAGATTCAACTGTCCGTCTTAAGGAAAACCCGGCCTTTATATATTCGAGTTGGTCCTCTACATACCACAATTACCCTGTTACAGATTTGGCAAGATATTTGTAAGAGGTATTCTTTCCTACCCAATCCCTTGCCCATGTGTTCAGCTGTCAGTGCAACTTTGACACATATTCATTGTGATGGATTGTGGAGTTATCTCGATGCACCTCGACCCAAGCCTTTACAACATATAGAGCGATGCGTAACAACACTTCAGCAGGGTTCAGACGGGATTTCCTGCTCACAGAGCTCTGGATTCTGTAAGTGCGGGGCTGTGAGACAGATCCGACTGATGGATGCTAGAACCTAGCCTTTCAAAATTTGAGAAGTTACTGAGAATACACCTATTAACCCGGCTTTTGGAAGCCACTTCTTCTGTTTGATCACAGCTAGCCCTATCATATTCACGGATCTAGCGGCTTATAGTTGGCCTGACATATCTAGTAGATTATGCATATTTGAGGTTTCCTGTGCCGCTATCTCAGCTTTCTCCTGGATTTAATCTTCAGAGAATACAACTTAACATATTAGTGCGCAACAGTCGATTGGCCAAGTATGTAAGCATACAAGTAACATGATATAAGCCACGTTTAGATAATTTGTACTACTCCAGCTCCTCTCAGCTTCGATCTCCCTAGAATGTCACCTTACATGTCAGTAAATAGATATGTAAACGATTTGTGAAGCATACAAGTATACACCATGATATATACCATTTCTTAAGTAGCCCGCGATGCGATCTTAGCTTTGCACCTGACCAATCCCCGGAGAACACAACGTAGTGATGAGAAAGAAAATAATATCCAAGCATACAAAAGTATCAAGATCCATGTCTTGTCTTAGATTGCCTAGACCCCACCTTTTTCTTCAATCTTTGGAAATTGCAATCGGAAATATTAATCGGAAAGATCTCCTGACCATCAGTCTCGCAGGCCTTTACCCCGCAAGATATGTATGATGTTTTAGATTGTGTAACCGCTGGTTCAATGCCTAGGAAATACAACCAAGTAAAGAATGCAGTTGGCGGCCAGCTAACCGAGAGGCTTCCCATCCCAGCTGAGTTTCGTGAACTTTGCTTATGACCGTAAGGACTTGAATATTCCTGTTTGGGAGACCACCACTTTACGCCAGCCCTTCGCCCCCGCTTTCGAGGTGCACCATCCTACTTCTTGTAATTCTCCTTCAATGACTGCAATGTAAAGCATGGAAAATACTGCCTGATCTCCTCCCAAGATTTATTCTTGCGAACAACGAGCTTGGCTACCAGCTTTTGTTTCTCGTCCATGAAGTCTCCTCGTAGGCTGCTTGCAGCGCCATAATTGCGGGGTAATCTTTTTGTGTCTCTTCGAGCATGTCTGTCAGGAATCACTACCTGCTCCCTAAGCACCTCCCTGTCCACATTGCCCGACTTTTGGAACGGAAACATGATAATAAGGCTCTCTAGTATGTCTAGTAGATTTATTTCGAGTGTATATGACGTATCGGTGCCAATTATCATACGATCAAGAAAGCATACAATAAGGAATTCACGGTATTCAGCAGCTAGCATATTGTCTACTTCTGGGAATGGGCTCTCAGAAGGCCGCAGTCAATATGTATCACCCTACTCAGCATTTTAAGACTGAATTTCAAGAGTTCCGTTCTAGGTACTGCGAATCGCTTTCGTCGTTTTGAAGAGGGTGCGAAGCTGGCTCCTTGTCAGGTAGACTGATCTGATTCAATGATGTTCCAGAGTGTTGAAAAGAATGTCAGGCTGGTCTTGGGTAGGCACAGAGCCTGAGGCATCCTGCCTGTGCAGAAGAAGTGCATATCGAAGTGGATGTGGAAGTGTATCAACGAAACAGCCGACTTTAATATCCCACCATAATTCGTTGTCAGAAAGATAGTCTGACTGGCTCAGGTGGAAGTTGGAAGTGGTAGTATCGACAGAGACATCGTCAAGAAAAGTAGTTTGGAAAGAAGAAGCATCTGACTTATCATCCTCGAGAATGAGCGGCCTATTGTACATATAGTTAGAACTGCTTAGAGAATTTATATAAATACCTTCAGGTAATCCATTCATTTTAAACAGTATGGTTTGGATTCAAGGACCTTAGCATAATGTCCCTACTCTGTAATGGGGTATACTTTAGATCCTCGATTGTAGGGATTCCGAGGTCGTTTCTCTTTTCGTTCGCTTTTTCTTCCTTGTTGCTATCGCAGACAGACTTGGTCCCTATTGAGATTTTCACAGGTTAGTTACGATTGTTGAAAGGCAAAAATCTAAAAATTGAAACATACCTCGAACTCCGTTGCCTTGTGCACTATCAACTGCTCTATCACTTGGCTGGGTTTTGCTGGAAACAATCAAATGCTTCTAGACGGGTTTTCTCTTGATACACGGAACGGTGAACACACAAGTAATTGGAATTATGGTGAACTCGAACACTTTTAACTTTTATTATGTATTCCTAATCACTCTTTATATCTACTCGATGGGATGACAGGATCCAAAACGCTATAGTTGCATTTCAATCAAATGAATTTAAATCGATTAGAAAAAATGTAAAGCACTTGTACCATAGTAGGCTACCTGATCACCTAAGGTAATTCGCCTACATTTACACATTGATGAAGACATCCTCTTGAGGGAGTAATATCTTCCGTATTAATTATCAATAATCTCTTCAAAGCGGATAAGACTTGCTTCGCATACACACTCTTTCGGCTTCATTACCAAGCCGCTCGACATGAATGGGTAAGCTTGGTGCTTGCTCAAAGAATCCTGACGTGGCCGATATACCTACGTACGTACGTAAGATACAAAGGGACATCGTGATTGCTGCCGTACGCGCGGGGGTACATGGAAGGCTTCGAGGGAGGCTTCGACGAAGTCCTGTGTGAATGCCGATTCATTCATTCAAAGAAAGCTCGTGTGAAAATTATTGCCAAAGACAAGCCATTTCAAAATGCCAGTGCAATAAGACGGATGAAAAAAATAAAACCATAAGAATAATATGGGCAAATTGATAAGGAATACTTTGGAGATTATGAGTCTTGTTATATTGAGGCAAACATTTGCCTTTTATTGCGCTCTTTATGTGAAGTGTAGTCGATGGTGAAGTACTGGCTGGTCGGTAATGTCATGCCATAGCGGATAATTGCGGGTCACGTGTCGAGCTAATGTTACCACAGACTCCAGCTCCGTCCTAATTTCCTTTTCAGGTTTCGTAGAGGCTGGAACTTCGAAATGAAACACCACACTGCCAGAGAAATACGGTATGACGATCTCTTCGTACCTCAGCAAAATTTCATTGTTTACATTGTTTGCATTGTTTACAATCAATGCCATCGAAAATCATCTCGATCATATCGGCCGGAATCAAATAACCCAGACAGAATTTTTTGGTTGTTTGGTGAAGCATGAACGGAGATGTTTAAAGTCGTCTGAGGCGCAGTAGTCATTGAAACCGAACATTTGGAACTTGGGACGAGGACGTACTTTGTACCATGTGCAAAGCATCAATTCGTACTCGGGTGCTGGTGGCTACATTGACGATATCGTCACAGAATTGGTTTTCTTGTAAGAAGCTGCGACGGCAAAGTAGCTGAAGTTCAAACTATTGTGGCTGATTTCGAATTTGCTACAGAGTTGTTTCCAAAACGTTGGTTTTTGTCGCCAACAATTCCAGTCAAGGCTAGGCCTGCGAACGGATTTCTCCACTATAATTGTTCCCTGTGAAGAAACACACGGTCATTGGAGATTCACAATTTTAAAGTTGCATGTTCCCAGACAGCCGCACGGCCTCCAGGAGATTTTGAGCATCTGCGGCAGCTAAGACCTTTGAGGCTATTGCCGCGATTTAGAGGCTGGTTTTCATTGTCGGTGTTTATGGAAGTTGGGCATTGTTCATATCCCAGGAGCTGATTGTGATGTCGAAACAAGCTTAACTTCTGTGACCATGCCCACTCGAAACAGGTAAGAAGCCAATCGCCACTTCCGAATACCGATATTAGTCGTTTAGTTCTAGGAAGGAGCAAAGTCCAAACACTCAAAGCATCAGCCTTAGGGTTGGAGAAGCAAAGATGAAAGATCCGAGAGGCTCGTCTCCATGAGATTCGAGATCGTCCCCAGGTAATCTCACACCCCAGCATTGCATGATCGACCAAGAAACATCGTGTTTTGTCATTGGCCGTTCTTGAAAATGTTAGGTCTCTCGAAAAAGTTCCGTCCTTAGTCTGAATTGTTCTGTATGGGAAAATCGCAGATCGAGGCTCAAAGAATCCAAGTCCTTACCAAGTCATGACTGCAATAACGAATTGTGGTCAGATCTTGGACGTCTCGGACTAGTATCACCAAACCTCTTGGTTAGATGTATGTTTTTGAAACGTTTATGGAGAGAATATGGCCAAGCACACCAATGCAGTTCCTTGCTCGGCATCCGGTCTTTTCGTTCAACCAAGCTTTTTGACTTCTGGCAGTAGTGGAATTTTGTATAAAGAATGTCCATTCTCCCAGTGGAATATCTTTTTTTCATCATCAGCATCTTCAGCATCTTTTCTTCACTTCACTTTATCTTACAATCTTTCCATCTTGCGCCGGTCGCTTTAAATTTAATTACACAAACTATCCTTTAATAATTTCCAAGTTCTTCAACTTTATAACCAACCAACCAACCAACCAACCAACTACCTTCAAAATGCAATATACTTCATCAATCCTTCTTTTGGCCTTCGCTGCCACCAATGTTCTCGCCCACGGTGTCGTCACTGAAGTCCAGGGTGCCAACGGTGTTAACATGCCAGCCCTCTCTGGTAAGTTTTCTTATCTCTTGCTCATAGCTTCTTCTTTTTTCTTAGCTTCATCCTATTAACATATTTATCTAGTCGCCGATGGAACTCCTCGTGATTGCCCAACCCCAGGTTGCGGTTCTGAGGCTGATACTTCCATCCTCAGAGCCAATGAGATGGGTACTTCCAAGGCTTCTGCTCTTGGTCGCACTGCCACTGGTCCAGTCAGCGCTGCCAAGATGATCTCCATGTTCATGGGCGGCGATGCCAACAGCACCGCCGCTGTTGCAGCTCGTGAAATTCACGCTGCCAGCATGCACAGACGCTCCCTCGTTGTCCGCGCCGCTGATGGCGGTGCCAAGACTCCATCCGGTACTTCAGAGACCGGTGTCAAGGCCGCTATGGGTGCCGGTGCCACAGCTGGCATGCCAACCTGCGCTGATGACGGAACTGTCAAGATGACCTTCCATCAAGTCAACCAAGATGGTGCCGGACCATTGACCGCAATGGTCGACGCCACTTCCGGTGGAACTGACCCAGCTGCTTTCAAGAAGGCTGCAGTTACCCAGAACGTTCCAGGTATCGGTATCGGTGGTCTTTCTGCCGCTCAAACCACCGATTTCCAAATGGCTGTTCAAATGCCAGCTGGTATGACTTGCTCCGGCTCTGTCGGTGGCGCCTCCAACGTCTGTGTTGCCAAGGTCCAGAACAGCGCTCTCGCTGGTCCTTTCGGTGGATCCGTTGCTTTCACCCAATCCGCTGGTGCCAAGAAGCGTGCGATCGAGTACAACCTCAGCAAGCGCCGCTTTGCCCGTGCTCTCGCTGCCGAATCCGAGTAAGCATCTTCAGTATGCTAGCGATGGTCGATAGTGGGTAATGCACCCGAAGTGGTATGGAGATGGAACAGGTTATACGATTAATGGTTATTATTGGTTGATGAGTGGCTCAGAATTCCCTTTGTGTTAGAAATTTCTTTTGTATTGTGGTGGACTCTTGCTAGCGATGGAGAATGAGATCTGCGATTTCTTCTTCAGAGCTAGAAGAGGGGGTGGTCCTATAGATATTGTGATGATGAATTGACTTATACTTTCCTTATACACATAAAGTCCTTTCATAGATGCTGAGCACGCTCATTATTTAAATCTTAATTATGCTGATCAAAAAACGTTTTCCTTTATCGCTCCATATTGTGATTATGATTTGATTAAACTTTAAGCGACACAGCTTTGAGCTTCTTCTTTGCTTACATTCGCAGTATTTTGGGTTTTCTACACGATTCTTCAGAAGGTTCAGATCACTTACATATATATCAATATTTCCAATGTCTCGCTTCTCAATGATCAGGATATAAGTCTCCGATCATCAAAGTAATAAGCAGATGAATATTCCACAAAATATAGACACTGAATCAATCACATAACAGGGAATCCGTCTCACGGTCAAGGGATTCAATAACAAAGATTATTTGGGCCACTAAGACCGCAGACTTGGCTTTATCTATTTATCCTGCGACTTTATTTATGGACAGCTTATCTCTATCCCTAAACATCCCGCGATATCACTCCCCAAAACATTAACATCATAAAGTAGCTTACTCTTTACCTTACATATACACTCAAAAATTCCCTGTCTCTTTCATCAAGGATCGCATAGCAAGCCCCAGCGCAATTGATAAACTAGCTTGTATCCTTTTATGTGTTGAAGGGGCCATATTGAAAGGAATATATGATGAGCGAAGAGGAAGAAAGTTCAGTATACAGTTATGAATACCTAAGTATGTAGGTCTATTATTACCGGTTATCGGGTAGAGTTTTGGAAAGAAGTCATCAGAGGGGAATTTGAAGTATTGCAATGTGTCTTTTTTGGAACCGACGTACGCTGACTTCCGTAAAGTTGATTTTCATAAGGTATGCATCCATAGTTCACAAAGACAAAATGGGAAACTCGGGTTTCATCCGGTCGGGGTCACTCTCTTTTCCGAATTAAGGTAGAGAAAGGAAAGCGTTCTGAATCCGATGCGTGCCTCTGACATACTCGTCCTACCGGCTCTGCAAGTTACCGATATCTTACACATGGATTCTTCGGCAGCATTCCGGTTTAAATGGTGGACAGCTCGAGCTCTACATATCAGATTGATCTTTCAGGAAGTTGTGGTATGTCAATAGCGGTAAGACGCAGAAGTGTTATCTGTACACAAAGATTCATTGATACACAACGTCAAGTTAAATTGTGAGACTTCGATGCATTGAAACGGCCCGCGAAAAATTGTTGCCACAACCCTTCGATTCCAGCACGTGAACCTCACGCCAAATTTAGAATCTTGGCACGTTTTTGTCTCATAACTCTACAAATTTCTTGTCAGTCAATTGCAATAACTTCACCTCGCATTAGACGTTATGCCGAGCACAGCATCATTACCATCTTGGTTCATTTGTGACACGAAGTTTGAAATGATGTTATCCTGTTACTTGCTTAGCGATGATCCGTTCCACTTCCCCTTTTATTTCACACCCCAAAATTCACTTCTTTTGCTCAAGATTTCGTGTGGCTCCATGTGGCTCGCCTACAACTACAATACGAAGGTGTCACAAACAATACTAAGAACACCCGCTACAAACATCATGTACTTATATTTCTGAATTGCGTTGAAGTTTTGATGCTTTTGAATCATATTTCCATTTCATAATTGATCTTAAACAAGTAGTCTAGGTCAAAGTTGACTGTGAACAACTTATTCTTTGATTTGTTTTATGTTGAGATTTCTCAGATTTCTCTTATTCCTTGGTGCTTAAATCTTGTGTTAGTGTGGTCTATTTCGGTAAAATCGAACAATACTAAGGAGAATTTCCATTGTTCCTAAATGTGATATTGACTGTGATGTTATTGAAACCTCAATTCTCATCAAATTTGTTTCATGTCCACAGTGCTATGGCAAAGTAATGCACTTGCTATTACCTCGAGACATCCTCGTTATGAGCACGACTTGTGATCTTCTAAGTAGCTCAAGAATTTCCAGAGGCAATTTGAATATAAACTCCCCCCCTCCTACAACCAGTGTGTCAACTTCAGCCTTCAGCATCTGCGAATGTCCCACACCAGAGTGACAACACTTTGATTGTTATATCATAGCTATCTTTGCTAGGCCAATGAACTGCCCTCTACACTACTGCTTCGACACACCTACTACTTTGACACCTTATCATACCGACGGTTTACCACCATCTGGAAACATTCGAAGCAAGAATGGCTTCCAACAGTTTGAACTTCGATCCACTCACCCAAAGCATTACCATTCTCATGGCTGATGGAGTTACGACTGTGTCTATCACTCCACTCGACATCGACTTTTTTTACTACTACAACGTGGCTAGTTGTATCAATTATGGTGCTCAAGCTGGAGCTTGCTTATTGATGTTCTTCGTTGTCGTCGTCCTCACCAAGTCTGCCAAGCGCAAGTCCCTCCTTTTTGTCCTCAATATCCTCTCACTCATTTTCGGGTTCCTACGCGCTATGCTCTATGCAATCTATTTTCTTCAAGGTTTCAATGACTTCTACGCCGCTTTCACGTTCGATTTCAGTCGGGTTCCACGATCGTCGTATGCTTCTAGTGTTGCTGGTAGTGTCATTCCTCTTTGTATGACAATCACAGTCAACATGTCTTTATATCTTCAAGCTCACACTGTTTGTAAGAACTTGGATAATATACATCGAATTATCCTCACTACACTCTCTGCTATCATCGCTCTACTAGCAATTGGCTTTAGGTTCGCCGCAACGGTCGTCAATTCCGTGGCCATCTTGGCAACATCTGCTTCGTCCGTGCCAATGCAATGGCTAGTCAAAGGAACCCTTGTAACGGAGACAATTTCGATATGGTTCTTCTCCCTCATATTCACTGGGAAGTTAGTATGGACTCTCTACAATCGCCGAAGAAATGGATGGAGACAATGGAGCGCCGTGCGAATTCTTGCTGCTATGGGTGGTTGTACCATGATTATTCCTTGTAAGGATTCTATACCAAGATTCGATTAAGATGTAAGCTAATATTAAACAGCTATATTTGCAATCCTCGAATATGTGACACCAGTTTCATTTCCAGAAGCAGGCACCATTGCCCTTACATCGGTCGCACTTTTACTTCCCATTTCTTCACTTTGGGCGGGTATGGCAACAGACGAGGAAACATCTACTATCGACGTGTCCAACCTCACTGGTTCACGCACAATGCAAGGTTCACAGAGCGGAAATTTATCACGAAAGACATATGCCAGCGACATCACGGCACAATCCTCTCGCCTCGATTTTTCATCCAGAAAAGAAAGCAATGCCACCATGATGAGAAAGGGCAGCAATGTCATGGACCAAGTCACCACAATTGACTGTATTGTCGAGGGTAACATGGCAAATAATGCTCCGAGAGATAGCACAGAGATGGATCTTGAAGCTATGGGTGTTCGTATTAATAAATCGTATGGTGTTCAGAAGGCATGAGTGAGCTTAAGTACAGCTTTGCATGATATGTACCCCTAATTTGATGAGGGAAGTTGACTGGACGGTTTCATAGAGGTGATATCTGGAGACATAGTGGTAATGTGCATTAATTGAGAGCATTCGCACAGGTGCGAAGCGAACCAGGCATAAAAATTTCTTCGAATGTATTTACGCATCGGAACTTATAATTTATAGGTCTCTTGAGAAAGAGATTATTATCACACATTAAGATTTTTTTAGAAGTATGGTGAGGTGCTTTTCAATCTTGATAACTTTGGCAAGTGCCAACAGCGATTGTGCGATTTCTAGTCTATAGCGACTTCGTATCATAGATGGAAGGAGCATTTCTCGTCAACCCATATTATTGCCTTTTGAATCGATACGCTAGATGACACCACAACTTCATATCGTCATTCGTTCAGCTGTCTTCTCATACAGCATAACTATTTCACTGCTTTACGTCATTGATCATATCATACATAGTATTCCTTGCTATTTGATTTGAGTTGAAGTATTTACACGGGCAGTGGATGTGGCAAATATGGCTTACCATGGATCATGGGTACGTGGCCGTAGCATTTATGGCCATAATACTGTTCGCTCTAATGCTAAGATATCTACCGCTAAGAGATCAAGATCCAAAGCTTCTTCTCTAGATGAGCAAGCTACTCCTGATCTTGGGCGAGGTAGTATGGATAGCAAACCCTTTTATCGGTAAGGCTTCTTCGACACGTTAACTTGTATAAGTCAACGGGCCTAGTATCTTTTATACTATTTCAAAGAGTACTAACGATATAACCTCTTCAGTTCAAAACCAGTCGCAACATCAGCTCTTCTATGTCTAGTTGGCAAATTCGAAGCCATGGACGCTGTGAGTCTTCCCATCCAAGACTCCACACTCCAACCCGCACCATTACACTCGGCACGAAACTCTCCTCGAAAAAGAAGCAGGACACGAGATTCTTCACAGAAAAGATTATCCACCATCTTAAGTCCGACTAGTAGGGATTTGTCTAGAGATGGCGATGTTTTCATTGAGGGATACATGAGAAATGACACATGGGGAGAGACGCCTAGTAGTACCAAATCAACACTTCTGCGATCTCAGAAAAGACAATTCCAATCGAGACGATTGAGAACTCCACAGCAGCCGGCAAAATACATAAAGACGCCGTCGAAGAGTGAGAATCGGATGGTTTCCTCGAGATCTACTCCGAAGAATATGAGTGGTAAAAAACCCGAAACTCCAGCCTATACACTCCCGAAAAAGTCTCCAAATAAGAAAATCGGAAACATGATTAAAGACCGGATACGCTTCTTCGACGGAAGTCCAGATGAGGAACTTCCCTCGAGCTCCGCAAAATCAAGTCCTTCAAAAAGCGTTCCATCTTTATTTGCTCCAGCTCACCATGTCTATCGTAATAATAAATCTCCCTCGACTTCCTACACCACCGCTATTGAAACACCAACCTTTAAATCAACAATGAGAGGCTCGACAAACTTCTCTAGAACATCTGAAGTGGCTAAAGAGAAGATCACTACGATCTCTTCGCCTCAAAAAGCGCAATATACACCAGTATTTCACAGGAAACAACGCAATGTTTTCGGAGAAGCAGTTCAGAATCCTTTCTTGGCTTCTCAGGGGAGTTCGGAAAAAACGAGATCTTCAAATACGGTTTCGCCTCATACCTCTCCGACAAGACCCAGGGATTCAAGAGACTGAAGTTGGAAACTAAAGGTAAGTTGATTGATTTAAACAGATTTCTCGAAATACTCCGCCAAGATCCTCGTGATTCCTAACTAACTTCCATTACCAGTAGAGACCAATTCCCGCGGAAGTTCCCTAGCCCGCTACGAAACCAACGCTACTCCCACCCGCGGCCCTCTCTCCCCAGAATCTCCCGCCCAAGGGGACGAACGATCCCCGGACGTAGAGATCCCAAAACAGGTATACTAAAAGATGTTGATACGAGACGAAGCCAAATCAGCGAGAAGATCGAAGCCATCTATCAAGCCAAAAATGAAGCCCGGAAAACCGAAGGTCAAGATACTAAACTGTTCTTCAAGAAAACCATGCAGTGCCTCCCATACCGAAAAATTACGAGAAAGATGATGTGAGACAACCTCAACGGATAAAGGATACGTCGTCTTTTCGATCGAAATCAAAAGTCGCGGATATGAGAATGAGATTTGATGGTGGTGCATCGTTTGCCGGAACCGTATTACCTGGTTCTGTGTCAAGAGATGCAGGTCCAAGAATTGTGTCTTCAGTCAAAGGAGAGAACTCTTCAATTATCCCTGTTCCTCCCCCGGCACCACTACCTCCTATTTTCTCATCGCCCATTCGTGTGAAAAGTATCCCCAATCCTGGTACTCCTCAACATCTTTCCCCTCTCACACAAAAACAAAAACAAATGAGTCCCAAATTTTCCGAGTTTACTACCTCGCCGAGGAAAGATACACTTTCAGAGACTATCATGCAGAGAGTATCTGTTTTACCCTTGGAACTCACTGAGAAGACAGCAATACAAAGACGTCAGAAGACACCAGCGCGTGTGAATAATTCACCCGTAACTCCACAACCTGAAAAGAATGCACTCCAGACTTGGCCGCGCTCGGGGATCAAAAAACCGAAACAAGTAAGAAATGGGTTGATAGCGGAGAAAATGAGGTTGTTTGAGGATATCTCGAGGAAGAAGAATGATCAGAGTATTGTTCTTAGTCCTGGGAAGAAAAAACAGGATGGGGAGAGTGGACAAGGGAGACTTGCGATTGGTAGTGATAAAATGAGAACGAGAACAAAAACGTTGATTGAGGGGAGGAAAGAGAAATTCGAGATTAGTCCACGGAGAGATGAAGATAAAGACGGGGAAGTTAGGAAGGGGAGAATCAATCCGGTTTTTCCAATGGCTATTGTGACGAATGATGAATGGAAGGGGAAGGGGAAGGACAAGGGAAAAGAAAAGGAGGGGCCAGTAAAAGATAAACATGAGGATGCTGGTATCCAAATTGTTGAAGTATCTTCACCACCCCCGCCGATAAAATCAAGAGAGAGGCCAGGGAACAGAGGACCAAGAACAGGAAGTAGAGGCCGTTTAGTTGGTCAATGGAATGAATTTTATCCGCCTGGTAATGGAGATAGGGATGGAGATGAATTGGCGCATTTACCTCTCAAAAGAGGATTGAGAGATGCGAGAATGCATATGGGTAGAGATGGGAGTCATAGTATTGATTGGGATGAGGTGGAACGGGAACTCGCAGAGAAGGGAGGGTGGAGAGATGAAGACCTTGATGGATTGGTGGGATGGGGGGAGAAGGAGAAAAGAATCGAGGGTTGAGAGGGGGGAAGGGGATTAGTGTTAGTGTTAGGGTGAGGGGAAAGGAAGCTGGTGGGAAGATGGGAAGAGGGGGGATGGAAGAGATGAGAGTGAGAAAAGAGATACAATGGTGGTTAAAGAAGCAGAATGTGGGTTATCGGAACCGAAGCCGTTGAGGGCGGTGGAAATGAAGAGGATGATGGAGATTTGTAGGGATAGGGAGAGAGTTGGAGAAAGGGAGAGGAGCAGAGGGAGGAAGATGGAGAGGAGGAAATGACGAGGAAAGGAGAATAGATTGAGAGAATACTATTAGGTGTTTGCGAATGGATGGAGAAAGGGATGAATAGTATAAATGCTTTGAGGTATTTTAGTTCGGGGGGAATGATCAGTTAAATGGATGATGAGGGTGAGGGTGAGGGTGAGGGTGAGGGTGAGGGTGCGGGTGCGGGTGCGGGGGGTGGTACAGGATATCCTTCCACTGTTCTGGTTAAGTAGGAATTGAAAGTAGAGATAGAAGGAGAGTACAGATGACGATGAGTTAAAATCCATAGCAATTAGAGTTAGACGAAATAAAAACAAGGTTTACTATTCGAAAAAGCATATGACGAGTATAGAGTGCCATTATATCCACGTAGATTATTCCGATCTGGCATTGTCCGTCGTCCGATGATATATGAGGTGAATAGGAACGGAATGTTGGATGATAGTTAATTGTGCTGGTAACTGGATACCTAGGCATAAAATACAGCAAGGTCCCTTGCTTACTGCCATATGAGACAAAAGGCAATAAGGGATTGGAATCAGATATGCAACAAAACTTTTGGACTGCACAACTTGACCAATAGGAGCAGAGTGGAATGCAATATCAAGGAAATATTTCGAAATTGGGTATAGAAACAATAAATACAAGCTTTCAATCAGCAAAGATTGCAAAAGAACTCCCCCATGTATCAATCGCTCCGCTAGGATAATCCCCAAGAATATACCGACCAAACTCCATGGCCACTCACTTGACCCATGCATGTCACTCACTCTCGTTATTAATTGACATCGTCTGCCAGCTAGGTCGGCTTTTCGCTGACTACTTCCTTGCTCCGTACACTACCACCGTCCTCACTCATTCCTTCCAGCTTCAGACTCGTTCCTCTACTACTTCTAGCTCCAATGCTCACCCCGGTACCTTTTCTCTCGCTCAATGCTTTGGACCACCTCTTCTGGTTCTTTCCGCCCTCGACCATTTCGTCGAACCCAAGGACTTCTCTGATCTCTGGAACTTCGGCATGATCTCTAGTGTTTTTCATCCTGTGACACCAGGTGATTCTCTTCTCTTCATAGCCTTCATTTTCTCCTATCTTATCACCATTTCCCAAAATCCCACCGCTCGCATGCATACCAACGGGCCCATCAGCGGGTGAAGTGATCGGAGTGGCCATTCGTACCGGTTCGAAGAGGAACTCTCCGCCAACTTGTTGGTAATCACCTCCTTGAAACAATTTGCCGCCTTTGATTTGTTTGAGACTTTGTAGTACGCTCTGTCCAATTCCCATAAGAGTACCTCTGCGCTGATATTCTGGTCTGGTGCCGAGATTCAATGTGCGCATCATTCCCAACTCATCGTATAGCTTCTTTGTAGGATCCGCATATATTGGAAATGGACAATTTGTGGCTTCTTGGTACATGGGGATTAGAGATGGACTGCCGCAACCAACGACGGCGATAAAGGTGGGAGTATGGAGTTGGAGGAGAGAATCTTCGGTGATGGATGCTGTGAGGGTTCGAAGGTATTCTTGGCAGTTCTAGTAGAAAGCGTAAATGTAAGTTTGGAGTTGAACTATACAGCTAGGGTGGCAGTAGGGAGACAGCTTACCCCGCAAAAGAAATGACGGATGAATATAACCAAGACTCTTCTTGCTACATTCGGGCCTGAGTATAAACTTTTGAAAGGTCTAGTTTTGCCATCCCTATCTAGGACGATCATACTTTCAACCTTCTTCAGCACCTCTTGGGAGGGTATCTCATTATTAGTATTGACGTCCCCAACAAATTCCACGGAAGGATCGACGCCATCGAATGAAGTATCTATTGAGGTTTTTGGAGGTGTAGCATTTGGAGGATCCATGATTATTGTATGAGCTGAATCTTCGAATGTCTTTTCATTTAAGTCTTTCTCTGAGGCAGAATTAATAGTAATTCGGTTCGCAGTGGGTGAATTAGACAAGATGACCATAATTTCATTCGATTCGTTTGCGCCGGTTCTTCGGATTTGTCTTCGTCACTGATTCACGATCGTTTAATTTTATCGAGGCTTAGACCTTTGGGCTGGCTCGGATTTCACTTATGATGAGTAAAGTGAATATACTTGTCGTCGGGTTCGTATATTCGTATACATAATCTCTTTTTTTGGAATCTGTAAGCTGCCATATATAATTTCCTATTAGTTCGTTCAATCCTCCTACGTGTCAGAGTATCAGAATATCTGTGTCAGGTCTCAGACTGGTTTCAAGAACAGCCAGCCGTGGATAGCTTCCTTCCATTCTCTCGTTGAGCTTCATACTAATCAAGTTTGATTGGAGAAGACGACATAATTGTGGATGATTTGCCTGGGCGTTAACGAACAAGGTTATCAAATTTAAGAAAACTTGAATAACGGAGCTCCTCTTAGCAAGAAATAGATCTTGATATACTGGATCTGTTGGACGTGCTCATCGGTGTTATGTTTTGATTTGGAAATTTTAGGGTTCACCGGTAGGTCACTGGTGCCACTGAGTGGGTAGACCTCGGATGGTGACAAATCTGGCACAATTTATGGGCTTTATCTAAAACTGGGCTGAATGAACACTTGAGGCATGGAATTCAAAAGTTTGAGGAATATCTGTAATATCTGCAACATCTTGTAACCAGTTATACTTCTTTTTCTCTTTCTTTTTCTTTTCCGTTTCCTCTTCCTCTTCCTTTTCCTTCGTATATATGAGCCGATCGATACAACAGATCAATACAACAGAACAGATACATAATGTATGGCAGACATGGTAGAGTACTAGAGGATGAATCGTCCAATCTACGAATAGGATGAAGCAGAGAAACAAAGAAGAAAAACTATGGCGCTTCGTGAAGTTTCATCATCACACACTTGTTACTTTCCTTACAAAGATCTCTCTATTTACCCTGCCCAGCAGACATGGTCAAAGAAGAAGATGATGGATGATCTAAGATCTGTTTTCAGCCTACGATCCTACGAATAATAAGCAGAAACGAAAAAAACAAGGAAATCAGGGGAAAGAAGTACAACTCCCGTAAAGCATTACTGTTACACATTTTATCTAAGAACAAGAAAGATTTTCGAGTTGCGTTTTGTCCTACTTTGTACAGAGTACAGTCGATCTCTTTCCGGGGAGTAGACGAATAGGCATGTATGGAAATGATCCGACCGGTGAGCTCTTTTGCGGCCTCAATATATTATTCAGTTGTAAGATGAGCGATTGGAGTTCACAACCAGGTAAACTTACAAACTAAATTAAATGTCGTGTCACTCTCTATACCTGTAAAGCATAACATAACGTCTGAAAAGTTTCACAACGTTGTTGAACAAACCAAGATGAGGGGGTGAATGAGGGGAGGAGATTTCCCGTCATTCATCTAATCCTTTAAGCTTATCATGATGGGGGGATCACTGGTGGATGAGATGCATCCATTTCCTTCCTCATTGGTTGTACCTGCATATATTGAAAATATCCCGATGAGTGGCTGTGCTTCCAGCTGTGTACCCTTGAATTCTGCATCTGTTGCCTAATATTGATTCAGATATCAGACTGAGAGATACCCTATCCCATTATCTTCAATTGAATGTTGCAATCATCTTTTTCCTTGGTCAAAGTTTAATCTGGGCCGCTTTTTTGGACCACTTCCTTTGGAGATCATGTCCGATAGTCCATTGTCAATTGCTGCTAGTATCACAGGATTGCTTACCTTTGTTGCAGCTGTCATTGCTGGCTTCTATGCACATGCTCTCGGTCTTCGTGATGCCGTTGATACACAAGCCGAAATATCTAGTGCATTAGATAAAATATATCTTCTCGAAACGGAGACTGATATGTTGAATAATGCATATTTAGCTTCACTCATTCGTCAACCAGATCGAAAATATGGTACTGGTGATTTCAAGTATTTTCAGGGACTTTATGTCCAATCATTAGAACGAATGAGAGTCATGGACAGAGAGTTAAGGACGAGTGCCGAGTTGGTAACAAAAGGTGATGGATATGGTAGGATGTCCAGAGTAAAAAGAAAGGCTACTTGGATGGCATCGAGAGCTCGTATCCAAAGAGATATTGATGAGAGGAAAACCGAGAGCATAAGGATCTTTCAAATCCAACTTGCCACGTTATCAGCGTGAGTTTGACCAATTGCTCATTCTCGACTATTGTTGGGAACCAGCTCAAGGATACTTGCAGGAAAATTGATGAGCTATCTTATCATCAAAACAATCATAACGCCACCTGCAATGTCATGCTGAACGGTATGGGCGACTTGTCAAAGTATGTGCTGTTAACGTCCGGCGTCAATCGCTGGACCCCCAAACTTAGTACTTGCTAATTCATTCAATAGTGGCATGATGATACTACCTCCAACACCACCATCCCCTACACTTTCTACTTCCTTTCATGATCGACCAAAGATCAATAATCATGCAGAAATCTCAGCCACGCCAAGTCAATACCACACGCCATCAAAAACGTCCGAAATAGCTCCACTTATTTCACTTCCATTGAGAGTATGAGAGTATAAAATACTCTTCATTCCAAAAATTGAATTCAAAAAGACTTCGTTCTAGTGCCACGTCAATGCTTCCGATCCATTACACTAAATTGTGACCTGGTTGCCGGAAGAGAAAGAATTCTTCAGCTCTTCCAGGAATATTACCCTGAACAGACTTTTTACGCTTCGCTACGCGCATACCCTGCAGGGCATATCTATTCCCGTCGTACATTAGTTTTTCGGATTTTCTTATCTCAATTTCAGCTCCGAATATAGACTCGATTTAGGATATATCGAAAATCGCTCATGAAATCGAACGTTGCATACGACCTCAATTTATACTCGTTATTCCCTGGATGTACCGAATGATGAAGTACACCATTTTCATCAACAACGTTGCTGTATGCGAAGGCAGTTTATGATAAGTGTTATCAACGCCTCGAGTATAAAGAGCGATAGTATTAGAAAGTCTTGAATATCTATTACTCATTCCATTTGGACATATGAAGTACCTAAAGTGGTTATCAGTTGGCAGGAAGGAAAAGTATGTGATCAACTCTTGGTATTTTCCAATTAGTTTCATGCTTGATACTGACATCCAAAAGGGTGAAGGATAATAAAGTTAGCATTGATGATCTCAAAGATGGCAGCAGCGTATCCGGGCAACTGAAAAGTTCGATCCTGAAGGAAACTCTACGGTCAATGGAATTATCATCACAATGTACCGTCGATACTCAAAAGAATACCGCTGATGGATCCGCGATGGGAATATCTGGGACCAAAACGCCCACGGGACCACCCCGAAAAACCAGCATCTCAAGCAAAAGGAAGTCTTGGTATAGTCTATCAAGTAGAAAGTCGGAAGACTGTGGACCTATCGCTGTCGTACAGACCAGCCTTTGCAATCGAACGGAAAGCCTTAAAGATCGAAAAACAACCTCTCCACACGCAACTAAACAACCTCTACCTCTACTCAACACCCACAAAAACGCTTCCAACAACCCTATCACAATCATCGTCACATCCCCAACCCCAGATACCAACATTCAACCAGACTCTTGCTCGATATCTAGTACATCATCACATTCCTCATCCCTCTCCTTAAAATCTACCTCCAGCTTCGACCCCTCCCTTCTCATGCCCCCTTTTCCACCAACTCCTCTGAAATATGACATCCCCAAATCCAACGAAGCGCCCGAGGTGAAAAAATGGCTCATCGGCTGTATGAATCGAAAAGCTGATACGCTCCCTCGCAAACTCGTTTTTCGAATGATGGAAATTTATGGGATTCAAAAAGAAGAGTTGGACCCGACGATGTGGGCAAAGCTTCAGGAAGGAGTTGTAGATGAGGGGGTGGTATTGAGTGTTGATGCTGATGCTGATGTTGAGGATAAGGATAAGAATAAAGGCAATGGGAATAGTGAGGGGGGGAAAGAGGAGCCAGAGAAGGAAAAGAAAAAGGAGGAATCTAATAGTGTCGATGCATTTCAGAGCCCAAGGATTTCATTCTATTCTCGAGGAAAGCGGGGACGAAAAGATATCCCCTCCGAGCATCCCAATAACACAATTCTCACGAAACGACATACCTACCCTAACTCCAACTCCAAATCAAATAATAACAAAAATCACACCATCACCACCATCAAAAGCCCAAACCCAAACCCAAACAGGCCAAACCCACAATCCCCACCCACCAAAACCTCAACAACAAATCCAAGAGTCTGGCAAAACCCCTCATCGCGCGCTCGGAATTGGCCTACCACAATCCCTAATAATAATAACATGATGAACATGCACCACAACGCTGCATTTTCTTTCCCTCCTTACGCACATACAAATGCCAATCCACATACGAAATCAAGACCTAGTACGCAGCATGGGAAACACAATAGGTATGGCAATGGAAATGGGTATGGGAAAATGACGAAGAAGAAGAGGGGAGTTTGTCCGCCGTGTTCGAGGAGGGGATCGATGGTTTCGTTGGGGAGGATTCCCGAACATGAGGAGGAGTTTGGGGGAGGGGAGGGGAAGTGAGAAAAAGGTGGTTGGGAATAGGGATTCGGAGAGAGAAGGGAGCGGGGAGGGAGAGAAGAAGGGTGTTCATTTGGAGGAATCTGTTATATATACTAGGTACATTTATCGGCGTTATGATCCATGAATACCGAATTCGATTCGGCGTCTTTTGTATCAATGGTTGGAACTTTGGGTTTGGGGCTATTGTATATACCTAGGTATCTATCAATATATTTAGTAAGTATCTATCCATATCACATCACATCAATATCAACATCAACAATACATCCCATCAATATTGAGATCACCACCACGCAATTTCTATATATATATAACAAGATATCGATTAAAACATCTACGAAATCAAATAGACACACATCCTTATTCCAAAAACTATTATAGTTATTGTAAAAACTTTCTTATCTAGTGTATCTATCTATCTATCTATCTATCTATCTACCTATCTATCTACCTATCTATCTACCTATCCATTCTCTCTCATCCCAATGACCCTCCTATCATTTAGTCGCCTCAACCTATGTGAAAACCTCATTGATATAAGTTCTCTTCAACGAAATACCTATCGATATCCATATCGACATCTACTACCTACCTACCTACTATCTAAATAGGTACGTACACATCATCTTTATTAATATTATTTCTCCAATCTCGATTCTTCATCCTATACATCTTCTATCTATCCAGGTAGTATAGATAAGATAACCAACCGACTTCTTCAATTCTTTTGATTGTATATTATCCCATCCCCTCATCTCACCCACCCTCTTCATTATCATTGATATTTCAAATCAAATCTAATCTTCTCAGATTTAATTCTTCAAATTCAACCCAACCCAATTCATTCATCATCTCGGAACAATGTATTTCTCATCCTACCTCACCTAATTGCATTCCATCCCTATCAGTATAGAATATATTGCATACATACAATACAGCTCTATATATTTTGATCAATATTGACATAACTTCCATTCATCCGCTTATACACATACATAATTATCACATTCTCAAAACTCAACATCAGACCAGCAATGAAAATTATCAAGTCCAATCAACCATATAACAGGAGTAACAATTGAGTATAACGCTTACTCTATAAGTAGGTATTTCCATAAAGAACAACAAAGGCAAACTAAGTATGTTCAAGTGAAAAGCCACGCTGTGATAAGTAACACATACATCCGCTAATAACTACACAATCCACCAACCTCATCATCCAAAGTCCATGTTCCAGCCAATCCACCCAATTCCAATCCTCCATCAGGCTGTTCATCCAATTTTCCCACAAAGAAATCCCCTTTACCCATCGTATTCAAATCTCTATTCATCACTCTTCTCGCCCAAGAATCAATTGTCGGCTCTCCAGTTTCATCCCTCGCTTGTTTTAAAAAGGGGATCAGCGCCGTACCACCTGTCCCCTTCAATTTCCTCTTCTTCTCTTCGTCATCACCTTTTCCACGAGATGCCGTTGCAATATCTACCTTTCGGCTACGAGTTGCTTCGGGACTCATGGAACGGGAATGAGAGTGAGATTCACGGGATTTGATAACGATGTAACGTGTCACAATCGCGATGTGTTTATCGCGGAATGTGCGCAACATGGCGAGACAAGCATCGTAGGCGAGACAGAGTTCATGGTTATCGGTATGCGCTTCGACGTAACCGCGAATATTGGCCACGACGGTCATATCTTCGAGGAATCGTCGATGAGCTCCCGGCATGTATTTTCTCATTTCGAGAAGAAAGTTATGCTTGGTTCGTGGAGCTGCACCTTCAGCTTCGCTCTCTGAAGCGGCATCCTTCTTTTCACCCGTGGGTCGATGTTCTATTCCTAAAACAATGTCGAAGAATTGAAGAATGGAGCTTTGAGCATTACTGCCCCCAGAGAGTTGGCGATATTGACCAACTCCATTACCCTCGTCATAGAAAACTCCATTTGGTAATCCGGCTTCTTCCATATTCTTACTACCAGCGAGGAAAGGACGAATTCGATTATAGAACACATGAGGATCGCAGCTTTCATGCATACGTTGAAGGAGTGTTCCAAGATCGTCGATTCTCTCCGCAAAAGTTCGAAGACAAGATGTAACAGTCCTGCTATCATTCTTACGAGCCGCCTCAATTGCTGTAAGCATGAGAGGAAGAACGGGAGCAGCTCGAGCCTCGATTGCCACTGAGACCAAATAAAACCACGACTCGTCGATAGAGCCGGTAAATGTGGTTAGAGTGGCAAGATTCTCCAGATTGTCGACATGTTCATCTGCGAACAATGGTTTAAAGTTCCAGAGACAGACGGCAGCATATGTGGCGACTGGTGGTACTTCTAAGTATTTTGAAATGTGTAAAAGAGGGACTGTAATGGATGGCGGTAAGTTCTGTAACGATCACAAGTAGTTAGCACGAGACTTCCAAACCAGGCTTTCGAATCGATGGGAAGAATTGTACAAACCTCTTCAGGGCTATCACCACCCCAGATATAACTATGCGCCATGAAACATAACAACGAATATGCTCTTCGCCACTCCGAATCATGTTCCAGACCGGCAGTCGAAAGGACTGGCAGACGATCAATAACGCCGCGCAGGCGTTTACTCAAAATCAAACCTTGAAGGTTTGCATTGATCGCCTCCCATTTGTTGTAGTATGGATCGGGAAGTCGTTCGAGAGGTAAATCAGCCGGAAGAAATCCATATTCTGGAGATATTCCGTATTGGCTGAGTTTGGGAAGTGGAGGAAGCATGGTCTGATTGGGAAAAAAAGATAGATAGGTTTAAAGTATCTGTCCTGACGCAAGGAGTATAGGATCTTTTGTCCAATACTCCTCAGCCTTTTCGATAATCTTTGTAGTTGCTTTGCATATGAACTGCAAATATGTTTCGTGAGCCAAAAAGGTGCTGAAATGAAGTTGGATGATAAAATGTTTCAGAAACTTTTACGGAGGTCCTTTTTTTGGAGGGGATAATTGCCCCTCCTATATATAGTAAAGAGAGGGGCAGGTGGTCTAAGAAATGGGAAAAAATTAACATTTGATACCATTCCGCTTAGAAAGCAGCTCTTCTCGGGATTGCGCGGTATCGGCCCATAAAGACTAATCATTTTCCTTTAATAGAAGAATTGTTTGTCATGGTCATGGTTCTGGTTCTGGTCATGGCATCATAGCAGATGTCAAAGAGTTTTCTTTTCTTTTCTTTTCTTCTCTTCTCTGCTCTTCTCATTCCTATTTCTTCCTTCCTTGCCGGCTTTGGAATCACGTGCCCTAGGACCTTGGGTAGGCATTTGGCAGGTAGAGTCGGATGGAAACATGCACAATTGATGGATTTCGTTGAGTTAATATAATCATAATAATAATCACAATATCGGGATAAAATACAATCCCTCAATGGTTATCCGTGTACATAACAGAGTCGTCTGATCAGACATCTTTGAGATTTGATATTCGATATTCGATGGTTGATACATGATTAGTTTGATATGCGAGTCTGACTGCCAATTTGACTCTTGTAGGGCCCGAGTTGAATGTTTCAAGGTCCCTGCGACCCACACACACAACCCTACCATCATCCATACTACCGTACATCCATCTTGGTGTTGAATTTGCACAACCATCCCATCATCTATCTAATCAGTTTATCACATGATAGTTTCTAGCTAAGCTCCACCCCCACCCATCCCGTCATCATTGCGTTGTGAATAGCTTCACCACCGGTATCTAGCTAGCTAGCTGGCTGGACCTGAAGCTCATTTATCATAATGGCTGGTGTTCAGCAACGAGTTCTGAACTGGCTATACAGTGTTCTTACAAGCGTACGTAAATCTACCCGCCACGTACATACAGCTTTACTCATACTTACATTCAATACCAGGAATATCGAGATGTAAATCGTACATATAATGACGTCGCCCAAACACTTTCTCAATATACCTCATTATCCCCACGAACGGATGTTTACAGTACGTGAATAAGCTTACAGATTATGCGATCAACTCAAATACTAATGCGCAACCTAAATAGCATACGAGAATGGCTCATCTTCACTCCTCCTTCACCTTTCTGGCACCCTACCTGTGAATTTTCGTGGCACAACCTACAAATTCCCAATCGCGTTATGGATACCTCACGCATACCCACACGAAGCTCCATTAGTATATGTGACACCAGTAGAAGGAATGGTAGTAAGAGCAGGACAACATGTAGATCCGCAAGGGAAGGTCTATCATCCATATTTGATGAGGTGGCCAGACTATTGGGATGTGAGTCGCATAACTTGGCATATTGAAGTTTTGAAATTGCTCGGCAGACGTACTCATGAATTGAAATATACAGAAATCCAATATGCTTGATTTGCTCGCGATTCTGCGAGACATTTTTGCTAAAGAGCCTCCTGTTATATCGAAACAGCAACAGAATGCCACACCACGTCCACAACCAACAGTTATGCCTCCTCCTATACCGCCACTTCCACCAAATGTCCCTCGATCGATACCAGGTTCAGCCTCCCCACGTCCATTGACCGACGACCTCCCTCCACCTCCCCCACCGAAGCCTATAAATCATGCAGCACCCTACTCCCCTTCGAGTTCCCCGCGGCGAGATGATGGGCCACCGCTGCCTCCACTACCTCCGCAAATTGGATATGATAGTAGCAGATATGCGCCGCCGATTCCACAATCACCAAACAGACAATCGCATGCTCCTCAAAGAAGTAGTAGTCTTCGTTATGAAAGTGCCCCTCCATTGCCACCGCAACAGCCCAGGCAAACCTTACGGGAACCATCATATAGTCCTGTGAGTCCAATAACTCCACCAGATGATTCATATAGACAATCCTCATACTCTCAGTCATACCAACAACCCCCACAGTCTCAACAAACTCAGCAATACCCACCACAACAAGCATACAATGTATATAATATTCAACAGCCGGCCCCGCAAATTGGTAGACCTCCACTGCCGCCTCAATACATGCATCCACAGCAACAGCCATATCCTGGACATCCAACCCATCAGCAATGGCCTCAATATCAGCAGCAACACCAACAAACGCCGCCACCACAACCTCAAGCCAAACCTCCACCACCGCCTGACCTTCTTGATGCCCCATTAACTCTCTCTATCCCCGATGCTTCATCCGCCAATCTTCCAGCTCCGCCTGTTCCACCTAACCCAGAAAAGGATATGCTCCTCCACAAACTCGCCAACGCTTTACACTCCCAACGCCTTCATCACACTACCCAAACCACTTCTTCTATTCCAGGTCTTCAGTCGCAACAGAAATCTATGCTCACCACTCTCTCCGCAATGCAATCTGAAATATCAGCTCTCGAATCCCTCTCCACCCTTCTCTCCAATAATACAACGATTCTTCACACCTCTCTTCAAACCTCCGACCAACTTCTTCAATCCTCTCAACATCGTACTCCTCCCTCCATTGATGAACTACTCGTCGCACCAACAGTTGTAGGAAACCAACTTTATGAATTAGTATGTGAAGAAAGGAGTTTAGGAGATGCGATTGATGTCTTGGGCAAAGCCGTTGAAAGGGGAAGGATAAGTGGACCAACATTTGCAAAGATGACGAGAGGATTGGCTAGGGAATGGTATCTGAAAAAAGCGTTGGTTAGGAAGATTGGAAGGGGCATGGGATTGAATGGGGTCGCTGGAGTGGGTGGATATTGATAATTGATTTTGAAGTATGAGAAGAGAAGAGAAGAGATATAACCAATTTGTATGGCTAGCTGAACTATGGGATAGCAGAATTACATACAAACAGAGGATGAAGGAAAGAAGAAGAGAAGTTAGCTCGAATGTAGGAAAATCAAATCAAACACAAATACAAGTAAATTATCTTCAAGAGAAATATTCAATAACCAACCGGTATACTAATGCGTGACTTGTTATATTTCATTGGTCCAATTTCATAATCCAAAATTTTTGTTGCATATCTGAAGTTCCAAATTTCACACAATCTTGGTAGGGAAAAGTCGGAAGTTGATTTCTTCTTGCCTTTTGGCAATAACACAATAGATGGGAAGCCTCGCGATACCCTCCTTCTTCACCCTTCTCCTATCGCCTCAACATTGATCGCACTGTGAAAAACTGGCGTTGAGATCTTTCCATCCATCCATCCATCCATCCATCCTTCCTATGGCCTTTTGGCAATAACGAAAGCAAGTGATGGATGAATCGATGAATTTGCACATGCAATCTAAGAGTTCCCCAGGTTTCGTTTTCCCGTACCTGAACGAGTGCTATTCATTTGTTACATGCTACAAAGCTGCACTCTCTTCGTTAACTCTTATTGATAATGATTATAGATCTTCATTTCTTCTATGTGTAGTTGTTATTTAATAGAGTAACAAGATCTCAATCCATTACATGAAATTACATAAAATCACATCATCTCACTCAAACCGGTAAAACTCCTAGAAAAATAAAGTCCCAACATGAATTCCATGTGATATTCCTGGCTATAAATCCACCATTCCATTCCATATCATATCAATCGATCACTGTACACACCACACACATACACATACTGACACTAGCTACAAAAGAAACCAAGATGTCCCATCCCTCCACCCGTTCATCCATCCGATATCCCATGTGTTTATTCACCGAGAGGGTGTTGGCCCTTCAAGTCATCCATCCATCCACTTTATCTTCCTATTCTTCCCACCCCTCACGATTCCCGAGAAAACAAATCCTCATGCATCGCCAATAGCGATATGATAATGTCCAATCCCACCCTTCCACCCAACCATTGATGAGATGAAAATCCGAGATCCTCTTTTTCTCCCCAAGTGCGTTCCTTTCTTTAACTAACCTTAACTATCAAATCATAAACAGGAACAGAAAAGAAGCTGAGCTAAGCCAAGCAAGTTCAAAAGGATTTTTCCCCGCCCATCACCACCACCACCATATCATGTCAAATCTCAAATCTCCTTCCGCTCCGCCCCAAGCTGAGAAAAAAAATAACAAGAAAAGAAAATGAAATAAATACTCGTCACCCTTCCCATGAGGTAGTGGCAACTGTCCAAGTTGGAGATAGACACAACTCGCGCTCATTGCAAATCTATTCAGCAGGCCTTCTGATCCTTGCAATGTGCTCATGAGGGCGTTCACCGAACGGGTGATGCCCACTGGAGAACCACAAGGGCATGATTTCGAAATTGCTCTTAAATATTTGTCTCAATCTTTGGTTGCCCATTAGGTAATCCATTTGCAGCATGTCCATTAACGCCTGTTGGACTAGTGATTTTTGGATCACCACTGACGGATGGAGGTCCTGATGGTTGAGCCGAAACAATTCCTCCCTTTTTATCTTCTTCTCCATCATCATCGTAGTTTTCATCAACATCCATTTTTCGTGCTGCACGTTCCGGTTCACTGACAGCCGGTGCTGGTTGTGCGGGAGTTGAAGGGGCTTGCTCCATGCGCTGAGCCAGTGATGATGGTTGTGGTACCGGTACTTGTTGACGATCACGCTCGTCTATTGAAGCCTCTTTGATTGGAGTAGCTTGCCGAGGAAGGGCAGGAGGTGGTCCAACTTCGTATGTATGGGGAGGTGGTGGACGCGAATCTTGTTGCATTGCTGGATGGCTTTGCATGCCGTGAGTTGGTGGATGATGCGCAGCTTCTGAGGGGTGATAATTCTCATTCGCACGACGCTGTTCAGCGGCACGTGCCTCAGCTGCGCGGCGCTGGTCTTCAACTCTCCTTTGATTCTCTGCTTGTCTCTGCTGTTCTTCAGCAAGGCGTTGTTCTTCAATTCTTCTTTGATCTTCGACACGACGAGCTTCAGATGTGCTTCTATGAAATTGTGCCCGGTCACTTGGTGGTGTAGAAGGCCTGCGGTGGTGCATGTCTTCTAGTCGTGCACGATTTTCATCTGAAGCTGGCTTCTTCACTGCGGGCTCGTCCTCCCATTCACGCATTCGCTTTGGACCTACGGATGGTGGTCTATTGTCACCACGATCTGAAGATGGAGCGTCTACCGCAGCTAAAGCGGATGGTGGGGGTGGGGCGCCTCCTTCAATCCCACTCCTTTCAGGGATTTCGGTGTGATGAGCGTATGGTGGTTGATTGGAATAAGGAGTCTTGGGAGATGGCATTGTTGCACTCATTATTGGCCGAACTTCTGGTCGAGGGCTGTTACGACCAAAAGAAGGCAAAGGAACAGGACCAGCACCATTCATTCCATTTTGAGTTAGTGGCAATACGGATGAAGGACCTGAAGGTGGAGGAGCGTAGTTTGTATTCGCAACTCTTTGTGGCTGAGAAGGAGGTCCTTGTGATTGCTGTGCATGGGCAGGCGGAGGTGGCTGTGCTCCCGATGCTGCTCCCGCTCCAGGACCTGGGTAAGGACCTAGAGGGTGGTGGTCACGGGCATCTCTTGGATCACGGGGTTCTCTCTGATCTCTTTGATCTCTTGGGTCCCTTGGATCCCTTGGATCTCTAGGATCTCGAGGATCTCGAGGATCTCTGGGATCACGAGGCTGAAGGTCCGCGGCACGAGGGTCGACACGAGGATCTTTGAATTCCGTTTTGAATTCTCTAGGATCTCTTGGATCCCTTTGCTCTCTTGGGTCTCTTGGATCTCTTGGGTCCCTAGGGTCCCTAGGATCTCTGGGATCTCTTATATCTCTAGGATCCCTAGGGTCTCTAGGGTCTCTTACCTCGATGGGAGCTCGTTGAGGGGAACGAGGACGAGGTGGAAGTTGTTGACGAGAATCGGTACCAGGATATGGTCTCATTTGTTGATCTTGTCTAGGACTTGGTACACGTTGTGTAGGTGGAATTGGACCACGATCAGCTCCTCGTGGATCAAAAGGGTTTGGTGGTTGAGAAGGAGGATTAATTTCAGCAAGTCTACTTCCCCATCCATTAGCTGCAGGTGGTCCTTGCGCTTGCGCTTGGGGAGCAGGATTTCCCCATTGAGGCCCAGGAGGGCCAACAGCACCAGTGGCTTGATAAGCTTGAGGATGTACATCTTGTGGTAGAGGGGCAGCTGCCTGTCCTGGCATACCATTGGCTTGTCCACTTCGCAATAGTTGTAGACGAGCTTTGATATGAACGTTGTTAGGATCAAGTTCGGCAGCACGTTGATAGGCATCCAAAGCGTCGTTGATCTGGTTGTTACATGATTCATACTATACAAACGATTAACAATGTCTCAAACACGACCGGCTATAGATGAAGCAAACTTACCAGAGTACCCAAGTCGTACCAGACCTCGGAGATGTACGGGTTCAAGCGTATCGCGCGGGAATATGCATCAAGCGCATCTCGGTACTGATTAATTTGGTAGTACAAAACACCAATCGAGCACCAGAAAGTTGGATTCCGCCCGTCTCGATAAACAGCTTGCTGATAGGCCTCGTATGCCTTGGGGTACTTCTGTTGTGACATGTAGCACCGACCGAGGAGGTACCAACTCTGTGCATCGCTTTGATCTGCCACGTGTTAGCGTGTGAAATGTGAGACCGATCATATTTGACGAGTCTTACCGGAACCGACAGATTGTTCCAAGTACTCAATGGCCTGCTCTTGACTTTGGAAACTGGTACTCTGTTGGTGATGCAGCCATCCAAGTTGCTGAAGGACCTTTGCATGTTTTGGATCCCGATCGAGAACACGCTTGTAGGCAATTTTGGCATTATCGTACTACAGCCAATCTGTCAGAATCATCCAATCACATTCCAACTTTCGGACTTACATCTTTTTGTTGCTCGTGAACATGTCCAATCTGGAACCAAATGTCTTCTTCTGTCAATGGAGTTGGTGGTACACTGACAATGTATCGGAAACACTAGAAGCAGTTAGGAACACTTTTCACCAAATTTTCGATCAGATGACTTACTTCCAGACTCTGTTGGTATTTTTGCTGTTGTTTATAAATTATACCCAAGCGGAAATAAATTTCGTTGGCCTTTTCGAAATCTGGCTGCATTCTCATCACTTGCGAAAATGCTTCCTCGGCGTGTTCAAGAGAACCATATCTATCATATAGTATTCCGATACCATACCAAAGTTTAGGCTCCTGAAGTGAATGGTTAGACTTGAGATATAAAACGCGCGTTGATTTACTAACCTTTGGATCCCGGAGATGATATAAAGCTTGTTGGTAAGCTGAGTATGCTTGTTGTAAATCATCCATCATTAAGAAGCAGTGTCCTATCACATGTTAGTACTGTATCTAAACAGCAATTGATTGCGCAATGCCAAAGAAGGTCGCACTCACCAAGACTACCCCAAACATCTCCATTATTCCCATCTAGTTTGAGGATGCTTTGTAGATATTCAACCGCTTTGGCGAAATTTTCTTGTGCGCGAAGGATAGAACTAATGGCATTCATCGCGGGTATAGATCTAGAGTTCGTGCGAAGTACATGTTCATACGCGGCCAGAGCCTCATCATTGTTGCCTAAGAGCTCTGCTAGACTTCCTATTATACAAATTAGTGACTTGTGTTATGAATAAAATGAGTAATTCTTACCAATTTGAAGCCATACGGACTCATTCATGGCAGCTAGCTGTTGCATTGGCGTTGGCGCAGGAGCCGGCCAGTTTGGTTGCTGTTGAGCCATTCCAGAGGGAGCTGGGCCATTGTGAGCAGCGTGATGCAATTGCATGCCCGCTGGGGGTGATGGATGATGCGCCGCCATCAGTGATTATAG